TTAGGACTTTCTTTGTTTTATGATATTTCTGGACCTTAAACAGTTCAACAGACACAAACTCTGGTGTCCACCAAAATGCCTGCCGTTCGTGCTGTTCAATCACTTCTCTCTATTTTATATTGTCCTTGTCTTGTCATCGGCAGTAACTAATCTATCAAACAAAAACTTTTATTTTCCACGACTCTCAAGGACCGACAATTAAATTCCATGCCTTTCCAGGCCTTGAAAATGAAATGCTTTAATTCCATGACTTTCCAGGTTTTCCATGACCCGTGCGAAACCCTATAAATCTTTTTTATTATTATTTATTTGCCGTTCTCGTCGCCGTCGTCGTTGCTTAAGCTCCCAACGACGAACGCACGTTGCAACAACTGAGGAAGATCAATTCGGCATGGTCACTAACTTAAGTCACACTAAACTGTTGACTAGAACTATAAAGGGGTAACACACGTGTGACATTCCCGACAGCCCTGGTTGCCGTGTGCTCCCAATACTGCTGACTCGGACATACCCACCTGTTTTCTTGCAGCCTTGTTTCCATGGCAATCGATGGTGTGTGCCGCCTTAAGGACAAGCAGTCTGGCCTGTTCAATTTCAATTCTTGACAGAGCGATCTGCTCCTGTACCATTCCCTAAAGAATCATCAGTGGTACAACACTTTTAGTAACTACAATACATGACAAGACTCCCATACGACAGGTTCCTTATCACGAGTGTAATCTATTGAGGTAAGTGGTATTACTACTTGTGGCCTTGACTAGTCCCTAAGCCTCGTTGGCAACACTTTGAAACGCCTGCTTAAACTTATCAACGTTATCGTCCGGCGTACTAGTTTTAGCTACCAGTAGGATCCAATTGCCATCTTTGGCTAACAGATTCAGTCGTGTAACAGGACCTTGAACCTTCTACTACAAACCTTTTCGGCCAAACGCTTTCCAAAGGCCACTCTCTCTAAAGACCGCTGAACCATAAGTTCGAGTGATCGTTCTGCTAATCCAATTGAACGCATGCAGTTGTGAATTCGCCCAGGACCCAAACGGCCTTGAGCTATCTCAAATCCTCGCCCTTCTCCTGTCATAAAACAAAAGCAACAAGAATAAAAACAAAGAAGAGTTGAATATTTTAACATTACACGGATGATGTTTTCAACGCATATCTTCGCAGAATTTGCTAGGGTAAATTATTTCATAACAATCCCCTTTTTAATAAATTAAAAATAAAGCATAAAAGTGAATACCCTTGGATGAAAACCAAACCCTTGTGGATCATTAAAGATAATAGGGTTAAGAGTCCATAAGGATTTCAAATAAATGTGAAAATAACTTTAGCTAGCTGGTAATATAGAAACTTAAATACACATTTTTGAAGTTCCAATTCACTTTACATGTGTAAATCTTCGTATAATAATAATAATCATCTTTATTGAGGAAACTTTTTCATAAAAGATGTGGTTTTCAAAAAGGACCTCAAAACTAGATATATATTATAAAAACAAAACAAAGCTATAAAATTGCAAAGGAATTAAAAAGATACAAGAAATGCATAAAAAATTAAAAATAAGTGTAAGTAAAAATTAAACGTAAGTAGCTATATCAAAAACCTAAAAACATTACGTTTAAAACTATTTACATTCCTTGAGTCTTTGATCGTCTGACTGAGGGAGTTAAAATCGGAAACGGCATGATATTGTGTTCTTTGCTTCCCCCAATTTCTTTTGACACGTGGTAATCTAAAATTGCCTTTGTTACGTGTATTATGCCTATGAAGTACGTCTTGTCTAATCAAGTCCATATCGTGATTAATTAGGCCATTGATGCATTTGTATACGTGTACACACCTTCTTTGAAATCGCCTTTTCTCTAGAGGCAGCCACTTGAGAACGGCTAATGCCTCAGTGGAGGATGAGTACAATGGTCTATTTAAAATAACTTTAGCGGCCTTATTTTGCAAAACTTGCAAACTAGACATAAGGGTAATATTATGTTTATCGCCCCATACTAGATCAGCATATTCAAAAAGGGGCATAACAAGACTTTTATAGAAAAGTAGACGAGCCCTGAAAGGCAATAAATGCTTTATACGCTTGAGAAGCCCAAGCCTCTGATTGATTTTCCCAGTTAGGTGTTCAATATGATCAGTCCATGTGAAATCCGAAGATATATGTATACCGAGGTATTTAAAGCTGCGAACATTACTTATACTATGATCTAAAATTGAAACAGTCAAATCTACTTTGCTTTCGCGTTTCCTATTACTACCGATGAGCATGCATTTAGTTTTGTCCAAATTTAAAGTCAGTTTGTGATCATGAAGCCATTTCGCCACACCCAGTAGATCGTTATTTAACTTATCACTCAACTCCTTTGAGGATGTACCATAGCAATAAATTACAGTGTCGTCTGCATAAAGTGACGCGTTGCAGGAGTTAAGCACATTTGGCAAGTTATTAATGTAAATCACAAACAACAGAGGCCCTAGAATGCTACCCTGTGGCACCCCATACGTGACTGGAAGTTCCTCAGATAACTCATTTCCACATGATGTGCGCTGTTGTCTACCAGTTAAGTAAGAACGGAACCAATGAAGAGCTGTTTCAGAAAGGCCGATCTCGGATAGCTTGCATAACATTATTGGTCTACCGTGTCAAATGCCTTGGTTAGATCGATGAACACGGCCCCGCAAAGCTTTCCTTGTTCCATTTTTAAGAGCACTTCATCAGCGAATGAGGTCAAGGCTGTTGTAGTTGAGAAACCTTTCCGGAAACCAAACTGCTTGTTGGACAATAAATTATTGTTAATCAAGTACTGATACAACTGCAAGTGTACCGCTCTCTCCAAAATCTTGCTTAGTGTAGGGAGGATTGAGATGGGGCGGTAGTTGGAAACGTTGGTCCTGTCACCTGACTTAAACAATGCCGTGATTTTCGCGCATTTCCACAATTTGGGAAATTGACTAGTGCGAATTGAAAGATTCAAAAGTTTAACAACAGATGGTGCAAATGTGTGAGCTGAGATTTTAAGAAGTCTCGCGCTAATTTTGTCAAGACCAATCGCTTTGTTTGCTTTCAATGACAAAAGCTGCTCAAGCACAAATGATTGATCCAATTCAGTCAACTCGAACTGGAAAAGCGGGTGTTTTGAAATGGAATTTAAATTCAAGACGGAAGTCTGTATTCTACTTGCTAGAATTCGGCCAATGGAAGCAAAGAAGCTATTCATTGAAGAAGCAATGGATTGGGATGTTATATGCTGAACACCATCAGAGATAATACACTGAATACTCTCTGAAGATGAGTTCCGATTGCATGCTTCGTTCACTGCTTTCCACACCTTATCTGAGTCACCCTTGGCTTCCTCGATCATGTCACAGTAATATTTAGACTTGGCAGTTCGTACTAAGCCATTAACCTTGTTCCTAAGCTTTGCATACATTGACCAATGACGCGCCGAGTTCGATTTTCGCGCCTTTCTATGCGCCCAGTCACGTTCTTTCATAGAATCACTTATCTGACTGTTCATCCATGGAAGAGGTGTTCCCTTGACACGCCTTCTTTTATTAACTGAGTAAAGTTGTAGGCCCGCGAAAAATTAAGAAGTTCTTGTTTATCTCTTTTTGGCAATTTAGAACTCGCCATCATGTCTGCGTTTAAATCGCCTAGAATTACCACATCCGATTTTTCCAGATCCACAGATGACATACTCTCATGTAGCGAAGAAATAAAGGTCTGAAAGTCAGAATCCGGTGCTCTATAAGCGTAGCAGACGAGTGTTGGCTTGCATTTGTCTCTAATCAACTCAATCCATAGACATTCCTGACCGCCAGTATTAATATCATTCCGCAGGCGAAAAGCCAAACCTTCTCTCACATAGATAGCTACACCACCATATCCCTCTTTAATGCCAGCGCGATCCTGACGAACGCACACGAAACCAGGAAGATTAATTTCTGTGTCGTATAAATATTGTTGATAAAGACGAGTTCAAAAATTGAAGAGTTGAAGACTAAATTTGCCGCGGATTCATCATAAATTCAGAATAGTAGTTGAAATTCACGATGTCGCTGATTTTCTTCCGTCTATGTGACTGATAGTACCATGAGATTTAACTTTTTTATACATACCCAGTATACGACATGAAAATGCCTATTTTCACTCTTATAAAGGACACAAACGCGAGACAATGAATTTCTCTGTCTCTTTTTAAACTTGAGTGCGGTCCCCAAGAAATCAACTGCAGGGAAATTCGCTTAAATTTGACATTTTCAACGAATTGGAACAAACGCAGCAAAGTTTTAAAAAACGTAAATTCATTTTAAAGGTGACGTTTTCGCTGCCGTCGCCGTCGTCGATGCTAAAGCGGCAACAAAAACGTGAATTCACGGTGTTGCAAACTTCATCGCCGTTATTCCATGTCATTCACTTTGTCAAATTTTTGGCGAATTTTTCTGGCAGGAATTTAATAAATCCTAAAGGATTGTATCAAAGTACAGGTAAAGAAAAAGAAAATTGGTGTCATTTGTTAACGTCCTCCAATAAACGTGAAATTTTAATTAGGCATTTTCATGTCGTAGTCGTGTAAAAACGGCAAAGAAATTTACAAAATAGCGTTGTGTACGTGCAGAGTTGTTGTGTTGCTAATCTTTACCTATTCGTCACATGCACATCTCCCAAAATGCACCTTATTTGCCCCCCAAAATTTTGCATAAGCATTGTTTTCAATTTCTCTTGGGACGGCTTTAATACCCAGAAGAAATGAAAAACAAAGTTAATGCAAAATTTTGGGGGGCAAGCAGGGCGTATTATGGGAGATGTACAAGTGGCGAATTGCCCTTTTTTTTTATAAAGAACGTTCTCGTTGCCCTCGCCGTTGTTGTTGTTGTTGATTAAGCTCGGCTGTTTCCACAGTTGATAACCGTACGTTGCTAAAGGAGAGTGATTCCAAAGCGACTATGATGGTAAGAACTGTTTATATGACTCATTCTTCACTTGCTAAGCAGTCTTAATATTTCGAAATGTATTGTTTTCGGTGTTTTCTTGGTTGAAAAACTCCGTATTTGGGTAACTTCTATCAAATTAACTCTTTTTTGGTCTTTTCAATAGGCAGGAGTAATCGGCTCCTGCAATAGGCTGAGAATCTATTCTGGAATCTGTAAGGTTTTCGCTGAATTTTTCACTTTTTAATTGATTTGCAAATGCAAATGATGATCTGTCCATATTAATTAGTATTCCATTGTTTCAGTGATTCAACTCCCCGCCAAAAGCCGAATTCAAATCCCTCCTCTCACTTTTCGGTCGTCAGATGAATTTTACATGTCCTTCCACTAAAGTATGCCTATTGAATATAATAGAATATTGAATAGATATTCAGCAATAACGTATTTCTGTTTAAAAACAGCCTACTACTGCCACCTTTCTGTAACTTGGTTGAGAATGAATATTAGTAAGAATTAAAGAAGAAGTCGTTTATCGAATACAAAACTTTATTAAAATAATATTCAAGTTAACTCATTCCTTTAACAAATACGTTACGTACATAACTTGATTTAAGACCACACGGTTTCACCTCGGACTAAGACCCTGTTTACATAGAGTGGGGCACCCCGGTCTAGTTAGCCTCCCACGCAGGCGTTTTTAGGGGAGCTCGTATTTCTTCCCTCCCCACAAACGCCTGCTCAACAGAGGACAACATTCCTTTCCCATTGTTGCATTCGCGTGGTAAGTGACCAATCAACGGTTTTTAAATAAAGTGTTGACAGGCTAAACATGACTCATAAGCTCGTGATAGTGAAAAAAAGTGACCCAGAACGTGACCCTAGAGTTACCTTTTTCCTTCTTTTCTTTCGTTCGCTAAGGTTATGCAGTGCACAGAGAATTCTAAAAACAGACTGAGTAAATCTTACTTTTGCCGCTCTGAGACTGACATTTATTAGAGGTCATGAAGGTTTCTTAAAGTTTCATGCAGATCGCGTGATTATCGGGTTACCCAGCGGTCAAGGTCAACTTTCCAGAATTTGGAAAGTACAACGTGATTGGCTAAGCGTGGGAAAGGAATGTTGTCCTCTGTTGAGCAGGCGTTTGTGGGTAGGGAAGAAATACGAGCTCCCCTAAAAACGCCTGCGTGGGAGGCTACGGTCTAGTGGGGTAGGTTTCATTTGTTTTGTGTCCTCCAGAGCGTAAAAACAAAAGAAACCAACCCCACTAGACCGGGGTCCCCCACTCCATGTAAACAGGGTCTAAATGTGGCTTCACTTGCCTACAATAACATAAAAGCACTGCTGTACAGCTGACAAATGCATTTATTAATCAAAGAGGGATTTGCTTACTATGTAGTTTCCTCTCGAAAAAAGGGACAATTTTTATTGAAATATCTGAATTCGGTGATTGCCGCGCTCGCACACAACAATTTGATCATTACTTAGAACAGCTACTGAGAATGGAGAATTGAATTCTCCTAATTTGCTGCCATTTGTTCCAAATTTTCCGACAAACTTCCCATCTACTTCAAAGACTTGTATTCTATGACTATCCTCACCACAAACCAACAGGTGCTTTGACTGAGTCACTGACAGAAAACGTGGACGATTAAACTCCCCATCCCCCTCCCCCTTCTTACCAAACTTGTACTGAAAATGCCCCTCCCTGCTAAATACTTTGATACAGTGTTCAAGTGAGTCTGACACTATGAAATATTCACCACACTGAACACAGTGAACAGGAAAAATAAAAGAACCCTGCTCACCTATCTTCATTACAAACCTACCATCCGGGGTAAAGATCTTAATCAGTTTGTCACGTGCATCAGTAACGATAACATTACCAGTACTATCTAAGGATAAACCCCCAGGGTAAGAGAGCTGACTATCAAGGCTTCCTCCTCTGCCCCCAAATGAACCCAGGTGCCTCCCCTCCCAACTAAGAATCTGTATTCTGTGGTTATTACTGTCTGCTACAAAAATATTCCTGTCCTTATTAATGGCTATTCCAATAGGGTATTTGAACTCTTCAGCATTCACACCGTCCTGACCAAATAATCTAAAAAAAGTACCATTACTGTCAAACACTTGAACACGATAGTTATTGCTGTCAGCTACTACTATTTCGTCCTTATCACTCACTGCCACCCCCTGAGGGTACTTAAACATTCCTTCACCCGAGCCTTGCTTTCCAAAAGATAAAACAGGTTTGACTTGAAATGGTTTTAAAATCACAGTAAAAGGACTACAAGAAATATGTTTTCCGTTTACTTTAACTAATAATTTGAATGTCCCTTGAACTTTGGGATAATAAGTGATTTTGTAGGTTCCATCTTTGTTATCATCTATTCGCACTTGCGTCACGCATTCTTGTCCTTGATCGTCCTTGATCTCTAACGTGACACGGTCCCCTTCATCATACCACTGCTTCCTCTCTGCGTTTTTGGTGATCAAATTGAATTGAGCTTTACGCGCTACAGTTCCTTCTTTCAGTCCATCACCTTCAGCCAGTGATTCACTTGCTTTTGTTTGCAGGTGAGAAGGTTTTTTCAAGAATCCAATTTTTTCCTCGTTGACGATGTCAAGCATCTTCTGATTTTCCACAAAAACAAACGTTTTCAGACTACTGGGGTCATAAACAATAGGCTCGGTTTGATTCAATCCATGAAAGATTGTCTGTAACGATTTTTTAAGTTGAACAACTTCCGCGGTGGTGCTTCGTTTTAAAAGTTTATCAGCTTCCTCCAGTGATGATTCGGTGGCATTTATCTGTTGCTGAATCGCACTTCTTTTTGCTTTTAAACTTTCGAGTGACTTCTTCGTTTGGTTTTCCACAGAGGTAATAATATTTTTCATTTTTGCTTGAATTGTTTTGATCAAGGCATCAGCAAACCTTTGGACATCTCTCCTGGCGATTTCACTTTGTTGAATCACTTTAGCACAGTCCTCGTTTAGTTGAGCAATTACATTCAGTTTTGCATCTAAGGCTTCTCTCTGCGATTGAAGGAGAGATTTTATTTCGAGTGTTTTGTTTTCGGCTTCTTCTTCGATTAATCTCAAATCATGACCTCCATGATTCAAAGTGACGCAAGTTTGGCAAAGAGCCGTCTCGCATTCTTTGCAGTAGTATTTAAGCTCTTCTTTCTGGTGTCGTTCCTTTGAACAAAATACTGGTCGCTTCAGTACATCCTCGTAGTCCTTGTCTTGGAACTCTTTCACTGCCAATACGCGGTGTTCCTTTTTGTCTCGCATCATATTGTGACCAACCAGGCATTGCTCACAATAAAATATACAACACTGGAAACAATACGAAGCTTCTGAACTCTTCTTGTCGCAGTTTCCGCATGTCACTTGAGTGCTTTTGCATTCTTTAATAGCAAGAACATCGATCAAGCCGTTCAAATAAAAGCTGGTTGGAAGATCTTTCAGATCACCGCTTGCTGGTATTCTGCTTAGGGTTTGGCACTTTGGACATTTAATGGCCTCTCCACCGCCGCACGTTTCGTACCATCTTTTTAGACACTTTAAGCAGAAACTGTGAAGGCAGGAGAGATGTTTAGGATCCGTAAATAAGTCCGAGCACACCGAACAAGACACTTCTTCGCGAAGATTGTGAAATAGCTTTGTTAGATCCATGATGACTTCAGGAACAAAGGCAAAATGACCTTCGATGCACTCCACACCCAACAATGAAGTCTTGTGACTTTCTATCTTTAGCTTTTCTCGGAAAGAAAGGACGACGAGCCAATCACAGATTGTTATTGTGAAACTTAAACCAGACGTAAAATGATCAATAACAAAAAAAGATTACCGTAAATCCTCTATTAAGCCCCCCGGGGGGCTGGTAAGTCCTTTGTGAAGCAAGAATGCGTGAAAGTCACAAGTATGCACGAAGTGTATAAAACCAAGAACGGTTGAGGCGTAGATAAAAGCAAAACAACTGTTAGCCTGTGTTCTGCCGGTCCCGTTTCTCTCCCCAGTTTTGTTTAAGGGGAGAGGGTGACTTTACACAGTCTAAAAAACCCTCTGTGAAAGTACTATATATTATCATGTTAGTTAACCCACGGACCAATCTTAACGCCTTAGAGCGGATTTATATTACTAGAACTTCTTCTCATTAGTAGATGTTCATGCTTTCTACTTTCATGCGTTTAGTACAAGTCTATAGTATAATCTGATTGTGTCACAGGTCCCTAACAGAGCCTGCTATACAGCACAAATGTTTCAGTTACAAATCGCGACAGCTAAACCGACAACACAGCGTAACCTAGGCCCAGACCCCCTCGTTTTACGGTGGGGATTTATATTTCAAATATATCATCTTTTCTTGATCTTGGAATGTTTTAGCGTAATTCGTTTTTGTCCAGAGTCATTCTATTTAGCATTAGAAATATCATACAGAGGTTGTGTAACGACACTTAAAAAGTAAATTCCTTAATACACCAACTCAAAAAGTTCAAAGCAGTTCGTACTTTTGCAGTATTTGTACTTTCATACTTTTTTGTTTTAGAGCGAGCGGGCTTGATAAACGCCAATTTTTGGCCTCGTTTTTTGGCTAAACTTAGTTCACAGTACTCACAGTTCGCATCAAGAAAAAGTGACGTAATAGGCCATTTTACAGTTAAAATTGGAAACGAGGCTGCCGTTGACCTTGTTTTGATACAACCTTTCCTGCATTATTATCCAAATGATGTTGTTCTTATGCTAACTAGTATTTTTTATTATAATTTTTATAAGAAAAGAATGAACAAGGTCAACCTCAGCCTCACGTTCACTCAAAGGCGAGGACACTAAGCCCACAACCGTGAAATGGTCTATTACATAACATTTTGACGGGATAAGTAGACTTCATTCTCTATTTATTGCTATGTTTCTTTTCTTCAATCTAAAAGTTGTGTTTACCACGTATGCTCAATTTGACTTGTGCGAAAAAATTTCTAAAAGGAGTGAAATGGTTGCAACAGCTTAGGTGTTAAGAAAAAAGAGACGAAACCGTCGTTCTCGACAAAACCTTTAATTTTATTATTGGACTACGGCAGAGAAACATTCTAAAATACCGGTATAAAGCACGCGAACAGAGGCATTGTTGTGATTCATCGAAGCGTTAGTTTTGTGCTGTTCTTGCTGCATTCATCATCGTGGTTATTTAAACCTCTGTACTGATGCAAAACGAGAAATTTTGACGTCATCGCTCCCTTCCCTCTTAAATCCGTCACTGAATTTTGAATAACATTTTTATGGCACAGGTTGTCGAAACGTCACTCACTGTCAATAACATTCCTATTCAGGGATACGATCACGTGGACGATCAGGCTCCTTCTACTTATAAAATATTTATGTTCATTCGTAAACGATCAGTTGATTCATCGTGGTGCCAAATTGATCGTAATACCAGGTTACATCTTAGACTTGAGTGCTTCCTTCAGCTCAAGTTTAGCCACTGCCTCCAAATGAACCTCATCCGGGCCATCAGCAATGCGCAGACTCCGAGCTCCTGTGTAGAAATAAGCCAGCGGTGTATCCTGGGATACTCCCTTCCCACCATGCACCTGAATCGCTCGGTCAATGACGTTACAGGCCATGCGAGGAACTGCGATCTTTGCCATAGCAATCTGCAAGAGTTAAACAGTGAAGTTCTCAATCGATGTAAAACAGTCTTGTGCCACTCTTTTTCAGCCAATTCTCCGCTGGAATTTGGTAGGTTCACCAGGGGGGAAAAGAACAAGGAAGTCGTTGTCTTCGTCCACGTCCTAAACAAAACGTGAAATTAGGCACTTTCACCGGTTGTGGCAGTGTAGCGACGGCAAAGAAATGTGCAAAAAAGCGTGATGCACGAGCAACAATGTTGTTTTTCCAATCTAATTATAAACCCAGTGCTCGTCCTCTTTTGAGCTCTTCAAATTCCTTGACTTTTTCCATGACCTTTTAAAACTTTTCCAAGATCTTAGGTTTAGCTGTCACTTTCAAACCTTTTTAGGACTTTCCTTCTTTTAGGGTATTTCTGGACCTTAAACAGTTCAACAGACACAAACTCTGGTGTCCACCAAAATGCCTGCCGTTCGCGCTGTTAAATCACTCCTCTCTATTTTATATTGTCCTTGCCTTGTCATCGGCAGTAACTAATCTATCAAACAAAAATTTTAATGTTCCACGACTCTCAAGGACCGAGAATTAAATCCCATGCCTTTCCAGGCCTTGAAAATGAAATGCTTAAATTCCATGACTTTCCAGGTTTTCCATGACCCGTAGGAAACCCTATAAATCCTTTTTTTTATTTGCCGTTCTCGTCGCCGTGGCCGTCGTCGTTGCTTAAGCTCCCAACGAAGAACGCACGTTGCAACAACTGAGGAAGATCATTTCGGTTTGGTCACTAACTTAAGTCACACTAAACTGTAGACTAGAACTATAAAGGGGTAACACACGAGGGACATTCCCGACACGCCTGGTTGCCCTGTGCTCCCAATACTGCTGACATACCCACCTGTTTTCTTGCAGCCTTGTTTCCATGGCAATCGATGGTGTGTGCCGCCTTCAGCACAAGCAGTCTGGCCTGTTCAATTTCAATTCTTGACAGAGCGATCTGCTCCTGTACCATTCCCTAAAGAAACATCAGTGATACAACAGTTTTAGTAACTGCAGTACATGACAAGACTTCCATACGACGGGTTCCTTATCGCGAGTGTAATCTATTGAGGTAAGTGGTATTACTACTGATGGCCTTGCCCAGTCCCTAAGCCTCGTTGGCAACAAAATTTCTCAACGTTATCGTCCAGCGTACTCGTTTTACCTACCAGTAGGATCAAATTGCCATGTTTGGCTAACAGATTCAGTCGTGTAACAGGACCTTGAACCTTCTACTACAAACCTTTTCGGCCAAACGCTTTCCAAAGGCCACTCTCTCTAAAGACCGCTGAACCATAAGTTCGAGTGATCGTTCTGCTAGTCCAATTGAACGCCTGCAGTGGTGAATTCGCCCAGGACCCAAACGGCCTTGAGCTATCTCAAATCCTCGCCCTTCCCCTGTCATGAAACAAAAGCAACAAGAATAAAAACAAAGAAGAGTTGAATATTTTAACATTACACTGATGATGTTTTCAACTCATATCTTCGCAGAATTTGCTAGGGTAAATTAGTTCATAACAATCCCCTTTTTTAGAGGGCCACAAGTTTATTAGCCCCGGCTATTTCGTGCTAACCCTCATAAAATAAAGTCTTTACTTACTTACTTACTTACTTACTTACCTACTTAATAAATTAAAAATGAAGCATAAAAGTGAATACCCTTGGATGAAAAAGTAGACCAAACCCTTGTGGATCATTAAAGATAATAGGGGTAAGAGTCCATAAGGATTTCAAATAAATGTGAAAATAACTTTAGCTAGCTGGTAATATAGAAACTTAAATACACATTTTTGAAGTTCCAATTCACTTTACATGTGTAAATCTTCGTATAAATATTGTTGATAAAGACGAGTTCAAAAATTGAAGAGTTGAAGACTAAATTTGCCGCGGATTCATCATAAATTCAGAATAATAGTTGAAATTCACGATGTCGCTGATTTTCTTCCGTCTATGTGACTGATAGTACCATGAGATTTAACTTTTTTATACATACCCAGTATACGACATGAAAATGCCTATTTTCACTCTTATAAAGGACACAAACACGAGACAATGAATTTCTCTGTCTCTTTTTAAACTTGAGTGCGGTCCCCAAGAAATCAACTGCAGGGAAATTCGCTTAAATTTGACATTTTCAACGAATTTGAACAAACGCAGCAAAGTTTTAAAAAACGTAAATTCATTTTAAAAGTGACGTTTTCGCTGCCGTCGCCGTCGTCGATGCTAAAGCGGCAACAAAAACTTGAATTCACGGTGTTGCAAACTTCATCGCCGTTATTCCATGTCATTCACTTTGTCAAATTTTTAGCGAATTTTTCTGGCAGGAATTTAATAAATCCTAAAGGATTGTATCAAAGTACAGGTAAAGAAAAAGAAAATTGGTGTCATTTGTTAACGTCCTCCAATAAACGTGAAATTTTAATTAGGCATTTTCATGTCGTAGTCGTGTAAAAACGGCAAAGAAATTTACAAAATAGCGTTGTGTACGTGCAGAGTTGTTGTGTTGCTAATCTTAACCTATTCGTCACATGCGCATCTCCCAAAATGCACCTTATTTGCCCCCCAAAATTTTGCATAAGCATTGTTCTTAATTTCTGTTGGGACGGCTGTTATACCTAGGAGAAATGAAAATCAAAAGATTATGCAAAATTTTGGGGGGCAAACAAGGTGTATTATGGGAGATGTGGAAGTGGCGAATTGCTTTTTTCGAAAAAACGTTCTCGTTGCCCTCGCCGTTGTTCTTGTTGTTGTTTAAGCTCGGCTGTTTCTACAGTTGATAACCGTACGTTGCTAAAGGAGAGTAATTCCAAAGCCACTTGAGGGACACTAGAAATTTTACGTAAATGCATACTGGTAAGAACTGTTTATATGACTCATTCTTCACTTGTTAAGCAGTCTTAATATTTCGAAATGTATTGTTTTCGGGGTTTTCTTGGTTGAACTGACTCCGTATTTGGGTAACTTCTATCCGATTAATTCTTTTTTGGTCTTTTCAATAGGCTGAAAATCTGTTCTGGCGTCTGTAAGATTTTCGTTGAATTTTTCACTTTTTATCTGATTTGCAAATGCAAATGATGACCTGTCGATCCTAATTAGTGTTCATCTCCCCAAAAGCTGAATTCAAATCCCTCCCCTCACTTTTCTGTCGTCAGATGAATTTTGCATGTCCTTCCACGAGAGTATGTCTATTGAATATTTATAAGTTTTTGAAGCACAAATAGATATTTAGCAATAACGTATTTCTGTTCAAAAAAAGCTTACCACTGCCACCTTTCTGTAACTTGGTTGAGAATGAATATTGGTAAGAATTAAAGAAAAAAATCGTTTATCGAATACAGAACTTTATTAAAAGAATATTCAAGTTAACTCATTCCTTTAACAAGTTATGTACATAACTTGATTTAAGACCACACGGGTTCACCTTGACTAAATGTGGCTTACAATAACATTATAGCAGTGCTGAACAGCTGACAAATACAAATATTAATCAAAGAGAGATTTGCTGACACCTCCGGGAAAAAAGGACAATTTTTATTGAAATATCTGAATTCGATTATTATTTTTGTCGCACACAACAATTTGATCATTACTTAGAACAGCTACTGAGAATGGTTCCTTGAATTCTCCTAATTTGGTGCCATCTGTTCCAAATTTTCCGACAAACTTCCCATCTAGTTCAAAGACTTGTATTCTATGATTATTCTGATCACAAACCAACAGGTGCTTTGACTGAGTCACTGACAGAAAACGTGGACAATTAAAATTCCCGTTCCCCTCCCCCTCCTTACCAAACTGGTACTGAAAATGCCCCTCCCTGTTAAATACTTTGATACAATGTTCATTTGAGTCTGACACTATGAAATATTCACCACACTGAACACAGTGAACAGGAAAACTAAAAGAACCCTGTCCACCTATCTTCATTATAAACCTACCATCCGGGGTAAAGATCTTAATCAGTTTGTTACTTGAATCAGCAACAATAACATTACCAGTACTATCTAAGGATAAACCCCAAGGGAAAGAGAGCTGACTATCATGGCTTCCTCTGCCGCCAAATGAACCCAGGTGCCTCCCCTCCCAACTAAGAATCTGTATTCTGTGGTTGTTTTTGTCTGCTACAAAAATATTCCTGTCGTTATTAATGGCTATTCCAAAAGGGTATTTGGACCCTCCAGCATTTTCACCTTTGTGACCAAAGGATCTTAAGAAAGTACCATTACTGTCAAACACTTGAACCCGATGATTATGACAGTCAGCTACTACTATTTCGTCCCCATCACTCACAGCCACCCCCAGGGGATAATTAAACATTCCTTCACCCGAGCCTTTCTTTCCAAAAGATAAAACAGGTTTGACTTGAAATGGTTTTAAAATCACAGTAAAAGGACTACCATAAATATGTTCCCCGTTTACCTTAACTAATAATTTGAATGTCCCTTCAAATCTAGGATAATAAGTGACTTTGTAGGTCCCATCTTTGTTATCATGTACTCGTACTTCCGTCACGCATTCTTGTTCTTGATCGTCCTTGATCTCTACCGTTACACGGTCCCTCTCATTATACCCCTGCTTTCTCTCTGCGTTTCTTGTGGTCAAATTAAATTTAGCTTTACGCGCTACAGTTCCTTCTTTCAGTCCTTCACCTTCAGCCAGAGATTCACTTGCTTTTGTTCGAAAAACTTCTTCTAAAACTCCAATTTCTTCTCCATTGACAATATCGAGCATCTTCTTATTTTCTACAAAAACAAAAGTTTGCAGACTGGTGGGGTCATAAACAATGGGCTCTGTCTGATCCACTCTATGAAAGATTGTCTGTAATGATCTTTTAAGTTGAACAACTTCCGCGCTGGTACTTCGTTTTAAAAGATTGTCAGCTTCCTCCAGTGATGATTCAGTGACATTTACCTGATGCTGAATCTCGCTTCCTTTTGCTTTTAAACTTTCAAGGGACCTCTTCGTTTGGTTCTCCACAGTAGCAATAAGATTTTGCATTTTTACTTGAATTGTTTTGATCAAGCCATCAGCAAACCTTTGGATATCTCTCTTGGCGATTTCACTTTGTTGAATCACTTTAGCGTAGTCCTCGTCTAGTTGGGCAAGTACCTTCAGTTCTGCATTTAATCCTTCTCTCTTTTTTTGAAGAACAGTATTTATTTCGAGTTTTTGGCTTTCCGCTTCTTCCTCGAGTAATTTCAAAACATGACCTCCGTGATCCAAAGCGAAACAAGTTTGGCAAAGAACTGTTTCGCATTCTTTGCAGTAGTATTTGAGCTCTTCTTTCTGGTGTCCTTGTCTTGAACAAAACACTGGTCGCTTCAATACATCCTCATAGTCCTTGCTTTGGAATTCTTTCAACGCCAATACGCGGTGTTCCTTTTTGTCCCGCATGGTATTATGACATATTAAGCAATGCTCGCAATAAAATATGCAACACTGGAAACAATACGAAGCTTCCGAGCACTTCTTCTCGCAATTTCCGCATGTCACTTGAGTCTTCTTGCATTCTTTAATAGCAAGAACATCGATTAAGCCGTTCAAATAGAAGCTGGTTGGAAAGTCTTTTAGATCACCGCTCGCAGGCACTCTGCTTAGGGTTTGGCACTTCGGGCATTTAATGGCCTCTCCGCCGCCGCACGTTTCGTACCATCGATTAAGACACTTTAAGCAGAAACTGTGCAGACAGAGGAGATGTTTAGGATCCGTAAATAAGTCCGAGCACACCGAACAAGACACTTCTTCGCGAAGATTGTGAAATAACGTTGTCAGATCCATGATGGCTTTAGGAATAAAGGCGTATTGACCTTCGATGCACTCTACAAATGAAGTCTTGTGACTTTCTATCTTTAGCTTTTCTCGGAAACATAGCAAAGGCCGACGAGCCAATCACGATCGCGGATTTAAGAGTCCTTGTCGCGCCAGCTTTAGTTTGCCATTTTAAAATGCAAATCAGTTTTTTTGAAGCTTAAAACAGGCGTAAAATGATCAATCTAAACCACCACGCACGCACGCTTTGGGATCTGACAGTCTTTATTACAACAAGGAACACTTAAACGCAAGGAAATACACCCGAGATAACTCATTAAAACGAATACTTAAAACTACAGTCAAATCTTATAAAAGAATACAAACAACAGAAAGACCAGAAGACTGTCCGTGGGAGTGGCGGGATGGGAAAATTTGTATCTGCACTATGCTTACAATCTCGCTTCTGAACTCTGCTAGCCTGCGTGCAGACGATAACTAAACTCTGATTAGTACCGTCTGCGAATCAGCGCAGAGATCCTTGTTCAGGCCCCCCAACGGACTCAACGAATTACCGGAAGTGCGTTTCGAATTCCCTTTTAACCTGATTGGCGATCACGACAAACAAAACAAAGCTTTTTTTAACTGGCCAATCGTGGCGCGTACTCAAATCTGGGTACACAGCTGGAAGTCCAGAACAAGGATTTCGGCGCTGTTTCGCAGACGGAGTTAACCAGAGTTTAATTTCGTCTGCGCGCAGGCTAGAACTCTGCTTGCTTATTCTATAAACTGCGTCTATACCCGAGGAGTATGCTGTTAAAACTAAATTTACAAAACCTATCGCTATCTGATTGCTTGCTTAAAATCTTGTGACTATCAGCTTTATCGTAGTAATTTTACGTCCCCAGTGTATTTTGCCGATGTCTAGTTAATGTTCGCTACCTAGGGGGGTGGTCTAGATTTATATTAATACAAGTACCAATATCCACAACAAGACGAAGATTTAAAAAATTCCTCGGTGAATCAATAACGCGTAAAAGCCACAAATATGAGTAATGTTAAATCAAGTACGAGTGCGGCGTAGATAAACTGAAAGCGAATCAACTGTTAGCTTTTTACAGTGCAAAACGCTCCCGTCTCTCTCCTCCATTTTGTTTGAGGGGAGGAGGTGACCGTACCCGTTCTAAGACCGAAACTGCTCAAACACCATACTCTTTGGAGCGGCACATGCATTTATGGGTAAAATAATGGACTACCCTCCCCCCGGAACACGGTATAAACAAATGTCTGTGAAAGTATTATATTGACATGTTAGATAACCCACAGACCAATCTCCCATCCTATTCCTCAGGGGTTTAAACCGGGTTTTGAATTAACTAACTAAGTTGTGCCGCAGACAAATGTTGGCAAAATTCAATACATCTCTACGACATATTATGATGGTGCAAAGGTCCCTGACAGGGGCGGCTATACTTTTTCCGCTACAAATCTTGTAGGGCCTATCACGATAGGCAAATAACAACACAGCATAAGCCAGGAGGCCAGGCGCCGGATGTTGGAAATACCCTGACCCCCTTTTCGCCCCTCCCCCCTATTTTTTGACAGTGGAATATCAATTTGTTTAGTTGATTATCTATTCTTTCTCTTGTAATGTGCTTATCTTTAGCGTAATTCTTTTTCGACTAAGCTCAGTATATATTAAGCTTTGGGAATACTATACCCGTGTCGGTAAGGGGTTCTGTAATGACACTAAAAGTCTTTTCTCCTCTATCCTGAGGGGCGTGTAATTTACAAGCCTCTTGAGCTGGTACCGGGCATATGTAACTGACCGTAGCATTAATTCTTATTGAGGGTAAATTTCTATATTATAAGCTTGAAGCATAGTCTATACGGGAAACAACTCAAGGCAACGAAAATATTGCTGGATGCATGTGTAGGATGAGTGAAGCTCCATACACATAATTCCGCTTATGCCCATGTCATCGGCTTCACCCTTGGGTACGAACACCGGTATACCAGGGAATTGTAGTGGAGCCCCACAGCTAAGAAAATGTGGTAATCTACCCATCCCAGAAAATGTGATAATCACGTGATCGTACACCGAGCGAGCGACCGTCCTTCCGCACCACTGCATACCAATGCAAAATTAATTTCGGGTAGTCTGTGTAATCTGTGAGCGAGAAATAAACGGAGACCAATTTCGTTGGAAGTAAAAGATGAAAGTTATATAGCGGCGGTGAGAAAATGAGGAAGGCTAGCACGGGCAGTGAAAAAAGAGAGTAAACAGGAAGACAAACATTTCCTCTCTAAAACGTGTAATTAGGAAGTTAAAAGAAGTTTCACGTTTTAGTCGTGCAAAACAACGGCAAGGAAATATACAAAAATGTGGTGCACGTGCAAAGTTGTTTTTTGCTAATTAGAAAAAAAAAGTGTGCTGCACGTGCAAAGTGTTTTTTTTCCTATTGTTGTTGTTTTTTACCGTTCTCGTTGTTTTCAACCTGTCTTTAGTGTTACTCGATTTATATTTTCTTTGAGGAAACCATGAATAGAAAAGAGGGCTTCGCTTTTAGCTCTGGCTAAATCTATATATTAGATTGACTAACATAACAGTACACCTTCTTTGTTGAGAAGGAAAAGAAAGTCACGTTTCCACGTGCACTAAATAGACGTCTTACCGCCATCAAGGAAAACATCATTGTGTTTAAGTAACCAGTTAAGTAATGGGTTTCAATTTCGCTGGCGAGCCATCACTTCTACAGACTTTTAATTCGGTATGTTCAGAAACTGGCAGACTATAATGAGTTGTACGAGATCTATGTTAATCATCACAAAGTCAGCCACTGCAAAGTGCCCTCGTTATTACAGCTCTCCACAAATTTGCGCGCTAGAAATCGCTCAGTAAATAAGACTTTGTAACGTTTAATACCCGTGGTGCTGTTAGTGTTTTGAAAAGTTCAGTCAAACTGACTCGATACCTGGAGTATTTCATTTCTATAGTTTTGCCAATTCATGTATTTTTCCCTTTTTTATTGTGTTGATTGAAAAAGGACGACCAAATCTTCCGAAATGTAAAGGTTGGTCTCGTAAGGGTGCATGGATTTCTTGGCAAACAGGAGCCTATATTTGTCGCTCGGTCGTTTCAATAGGCTGAAAATATCATAGAGATTGTTTACATGCAGGGAGAAAGATCCTAGCACCAGGAAGATCCTAGAGGGCGGAACATCCTCGCGTATTCACAGTACATGCTAAAAGTTGTACTTGTCTTCTCCTAGCTAAGAAGTAGGAAGATCCTAGCACCATGTAAACTGCTTTCGCCAAGAAGATCCTACTACTAGATACAAACCACATAAATAAAAAGAGCGAAGTTGCCTTCAGTGGATAATCTTTAATCTTTTATTACATCCACTTTGAAATCACTGGCTATCCGTGCAATCTGATTGGCTCTCAGCAGTGTGATTTATTCCTAAATCGCACCATTGTTTGCTCTAAATCGCATCTGTTCCAAATCGCGTCATTCATGTTTTAAATCGCATCATTTCTGTTTCGAATACAAAATGAGATGTAAAAGCCTTTTTGTTTCGGCTTTTTAACAAACCGGCTACTCGATCAATAAAATATTAGTACTGACTAAATTCTGCGATTTCAAAATGGATGTAATAAAGTGATAATTGAACTTCGTGTCGTGCAATTTTGGTCTGAAATCATACTTGTGATTTCAAATCAAACTCGCGCTGCGCGCTCGTTTGATTTTGAAATCACGCGTATGATTTCAGACCAAATTGCACTCCACTTAGTTCAATTACCATTATTAATTCCTTCTCTACTGTTAACCACATGGACCGACATTACTTAATGTAAACCGGACGAAAAGTTTTTCCACCTTCAAGGATCTTGCTTTTGCAGGATCTTCCTCCCTTCGTGTAAACATACCCTTAATTAGCATCCATTGTTTCAGTCATTATTAAACTCTCTAACTCCCCAGAGGCTGAATTCAATCTCTTCCCTGACGTTTCAGTCAGATGAATTTTTCTGGCTTCTGTAGGGTTTTGTCGAATTTTTCTCTTCTTAAGTTGATTTGCGATTACCACTTCCTGTTTCAAAATCAGCATTCCACTGTTTCAGTGCGATTCAGGTCATTCAACTCCTTATTTTCCCAAACGCTGAATTCAAATTCCTCCCCTGAGTTTTCAGTCAGGTGAATTTTACCAGGTCCTTCTGCAGGATTAAATTCGTGCATTCAATTGGACAAAATACCTATTGAATATTTTTCTACGGGTTTTGGAGCACAGATACATACTTAGCAATGGTTCTATTTCTTTTATAAAAAATGCTTTCCAGTGCTCACTTTCTCTAACTTGGTTGAGGGTGAACACTGTAAAATTAAAAGAAGAATCAAATGCAGAACCATGGCTCTTGGCAGAACTTTATTCAGAAAAAAATTCACGTAAACTTAAAGAGGGTTGTATTCATAGATAAGGTTATATCAGTCCCTCGAAAAACTAATTCATGTAAATAACTTGATTATAGCCACAAGGTTTAGCTATCAGACTAAATACGGCCTGTACAGCTGACCAATACATTTATTAATCAACAAGGGAGATGCCTACTATAGTTTCCACGGAAAAAAAAATATTGAAATATCTGAATTGGACAACTGTTTTCGTGGCACACAACAATTTGGTCATTACCTAGAACAGCTGTCGAGAATGTATAATTGAATTCCTCTAATTTGCTGCCTTTTGTACCGAATTTTCCTACAAACTTCCCATCTATTTCAAAGACTTGTATTCTATTATTATTCCCATCACAAACCAACAGGTGCTTTGACTGAGTCACTGACAGAAAACATGGATAATTAAACTCCCCGTCCCCCTTTCCCTGCTTACCAAACTTGTACTGAAAATGCCCGTCCCTGTTAAATACTTTGATACAATGTTCATTGTGTAATGATTTTTTAAGATGAAAAACTTCCGCGGTGGTACTTCGTTTTAAAAGTTTATCAGCTTCCTTCAGTGATGATTCGGTGGCATTTATCTGTTGCTGAATCGCACTTCTTTTTGCTTTTAAAATTTCGAGTGACTTCTTTGTTTGGTTTTCCACAGCGGTAATAACATTTTTCATTTTTGCTTGAATTGTTTTGATTCTGCTTACAAAACTTGTACTGAAAATACCCCTCTCTGTTAAATACTTTGATACAATGTTCATTGTGGTCTGACACTATGAAATATTCACCACACTGAATACAATAAACAGGCCAACTAGAAGAACCCTGCCCACCTATCTTCATTACTAACCTACCATCCGGGGTAAAGATCTTAATCAGTTTGTTACCTGTATCAGCAACAATAATATTACCAGTACTATCTAAAGATAAACCGCAAGGGTCAGAGAGCTGACTATCAAGGTTTCCTATGCCGCCAATTGAGCCCAGGTGTCTCCCCTCCCCTCCCCATTTTTGACAGCCCTGGTTGCCCTGTGCCCCCAACACCGCTGACATACTCACCTGTTTTTGCGCAGCTTTGTTTCCATGGCAATCGATGTTGTGTGCAGCAATTCAATAAATGACGCTGTTAGTTTGAAGTCTGCTCAAAACTAACAATTAATGTTATTGTAAAAATCTACCATAGAAATGACGCCAAATTGTTAAAAACGTTGTAGTGAAACCACGCTCTCGGTTCTACGTTAGTTTCGAATATTTTCACGTCATCTATGACCGACAAGAGTTCCGATCATGGACAATTGTTCTCCATTCTTAATTAACAGTTTTTGACGCCCAGTTCTTTTCTCCGAAAATCGCGCGGGCGATTACTTCATCATCACATCATTTCCATGGTCTGTATTCTCATCTACTATATCATAGCTCTCGACCAATAAGGAGGCGAGAAATCGTTAGTGTAAAAGACAATGCAATCTTTAAAACACGTGGTGCCGCGAGTGTTTTGAGCATCTTCAAAACTCAGTTCCTGGACTATTCCATTTCTATAGTACTGCCAAATAATAAATTTCCCTTTTTGATTATGTTGTTTAAAAAATGACAACCAAGACTTCAGAATTGGAAAGGTTGGTCAAGTCATAGTTATTAGAGGAGACTGGTTATGAAAAGCGGCAAACATCAATGATAAAAACAACAGTGCTGCAGTTTATGTTCAAAGCACCGTGAAAGTGCACAATCCTTTGTTTTCTGTTGGCAAATTGTTACGGAATAAATTAATGCAACGTTTTTATTGGTCAATACAATTAAAATGATAGGAATTCTTTTGAACGTTGTGCACTTTCAGGTCCACAAAAACATATAACAAAGGAGTCTGACGGGTTTCATAACCATTCCACTCAATTAACTATGGTCAAGTACAGTTATGCACATAAGTCGTGAGGGTGCATGGATTCATTTGCAACAAAAGCTTAAAGCCGTCGCATTTACCCGTAGGAATTTTTTTAATTGTTTGCTTAAAACAATAATTTCAAATGCGACAGTCATACGCGTACATGCTGCAAATAAATGAATAGACTTACTGCTTTTTGCCGTTCTCGCCCTTCAGTTAAGCTTCCGATTTCCACCGTTGATAACAGCACGAGAGGAAAGAGCTTGATGGAGGAGAGTGATTGTAACGCGACATGACGAGTTTTTGTCGAACACAGGTAAAAATTGTACATTTATCACCCCGCCTTAACATGCTAAGCAGTCCTTATAATATAGTACTTATCAAGAATTTATTTGGTACCAGGTTTCTCGGTTAAAAAGTTCCTTCATTTAAGAATAAGCTCTAATAAACTGACAGTCTTTTGGTCGTTTCAGTAGGTTGAATATGTTTCTCCGCCATCCATAAGGTTTTTGTTGAATTTTTCACTTTTGAATTTATTTCCAATGACCTCCCCATCCTAATTAGCATAGCATTCCACTGTTTCAATCATTCAACTCCGTATCTCCCCAAGGCTCAATTCAAATCTCTCGCCTCAGGAAATTTTCGGTCAGATGACTTTTAACTATCCTTCCACGAGAATATGCCTATTGAATATTCATAAGTTTTTCAAGCACAAATAGATATTAATTTAGCAATGACGTATTTCTATTCAAAAAAAAGCTTCTTACTGCCACCATTCTGTAACTTGGTTGAGAATGAATATTAGTTAGAATCGCTTATCGAATACAGAACTTTATTAAAAGAATATTCAAATTAACTCATTCCTTTAACAAATACGTTATGTACATAACTTGATTTAAGACTACACGGGTTCACCTCGCACTAAATGTGGGTTCACTTGCCTACAATAACATTATAACACTGCTGTACAGCTGACTAATACATTTATTAATCAAAGAGGAATTTGCTTATCATATAGTTTTCTCAGGAAAAAAGGACAATTTTTATTGAAAAATCTGAATTCGATGATTGTTGTTGTCGCACACAACAATTTGATCATTACTTAGAACAGCTACCGAGAATGGCGCCTTGAATTCTCCTAATTTGCTGCCATTTGTTCCAAATTTTCCTACAAACTTCCCATCTAGTTCAAAGACTTGTATTCTATGATTCTCCCTATCACAAACCAACAGGTGCTTTGACTGAGTCACTGAGAGAAAACGTGGACAATTAAACTCCCCGTCCCCCTCCCCCTTCTTACCAAACTTGTACTGAAAATGACCCTCCCTGTTAAATACTTTGATACAGTGTTCAGTTGAGTCTGACACTATGAAATATTCACCAAACTGAACACAGTGAACAGGTAAAATCAAAGAACCCTGTCCACTTATCTTCATTACAAACCTACCATCCGGGGTAAAGATCTTAATCAGTTTGTTACCTCTATCAACAACGATAACATTACCAGTACTATCTAAGGATAAACCCCAAGGGTTAAGGAGCTGACTATCAAGGCTTCCTTTGCCACCAAATGAACCCAGACGCCTCCCCTTACAACTAAGAATCTTTACTCTGTGGTTATCACTGTCTGCTACAAAAATTTTTCTATCCTTATCAGTGGCTATTCCAAAAGGATGGTTGAACTCTCCAGCATTTTCACCCAAGCGACCAAAGGATCTTAAGAAAGTACCATTACTGTCAAACACTTGAACCCGATGATTACATTGATCAGCTACTACTATTTCGTCCCTATCATTCACAGCCACCCCATAAGGATACTTAAACGTTCCATCACCCGAGCCTTCCTTTCCAAAAGATAAAACAGGTTTGACTTGAAATGGTTTTAAAATCACAGTAAAATTATGCAAATAAGTCGTGAGGGTGCATGGATTCATTTGCAACAAAAGCTTAAAACCATCGCATTTACCCGTTAGAATCTTTTTAATTGTTTGCTTAAAAATTATAATTGCAAATGCAACAGCCATACACGTACATGTTGCAAATAAATGAATAGACTTATTGCTTTTTGTCGTTCTCGTCGTTGCTTAAGCTTCGGATTTCCACCGTTGACAACAGCACGAGAGAAAAGAAGTTAATGGAGGAGAGTGATTGCAACGCAATATGAGGGTCTTTGGGAATTTTATGGAATCGAATACAGGTAAGAATTGACTCATTCTTAACATGCTAAGCAGCCCCACATGTTTTGCTTTTTAGTGCCAGAGTTTTCTAGGTTAAAAAGCTCCTTATTTTATTTAAGAATAAGCTCTAATAGAATGACACTCTTTTGTTCAGTAGGTTGAATATCTTTTTTTCGGAATCTACATGTATAAGGTTTCCGTTGAATTTTTCACTTTTTAATTGATTCCCAATGACCTCTCCATCCCAATCAGCAGCATAGCATTCCACTGTTTTAGTCATTCAACTCCGTATCTCGAGCTCCCCAAGGCTGACTTCAAATCTCTTCTCTGACTTTTCGGTCATGAAAGTCAGATAAATTTTACATGCGCTTTCACAAGAATATGCTTATTGAATATTTATAAGTTTCTGAAGCACAAATAGGTATTCAGCAATAACGTATTTCTGTTTCAAAAAAGCTTACCACTACCACCTTTCTGTAACTTGGTTGAGAATGAATATTAGTAAGAATTAAAGAAGAAATCGTTTATCGAATACAGAACTTTATTTAAAAAATATTCCAGTTGACTCATTCCTTCAACGAATAAGTTATGTACATCACTTGATTTAAGACCACAAGGTTTCACCTCGAACTTAATGTGGTTTCACTTGCCTACAATAACATAAAAGCACTGTTGTACAACTGACAAATGCATTTATTAATCAAAGAGGAATTTGCTAGCATATAGTTTTCTCCGGAAAAAAGGAGAATTTTTATTGAAATATCTGAAAGCGATTATTATTGTTGTCGCACACAACAATTTGATCATTACTTAGAACAGTTACCGAGAATGGATAATTGAATTCTCCTAATTTGCTGCCATTCGTTCCAAATTTTCCGACAAACTTCCCATCTAGTTTAAAGACTTGTATTCTATGATTCTTCCCATCACAAACCAACAGGTGCTTTGACTGAGTCACTGACATAAAACGTAAATTATTAAACTCTCCGTCCCCCTCCCCCTGCTTACCAAACTTGTACTGAAAATGCCCCTCCCTGTTAAATACTTTGATACAGTGTTCACTGAAGTCTGACACTATGAGATATTCACCACACTGAACACAGTGATCAGGAAAACTAAAAGATCCACCTATCTTCATTACAAACCTACCATCCGGGGTAAAGATCTTCATCAGTTTGTTACCTGCATCGGCAACAATAATATTACCAGTACTATCTAAGGATAAACCCCGAGGGTTGAGGAGCTGACTATCAAGGCTTCCTTTGCCGCCAAATGAACCCAGGTGCCTCCCCTCCCAGCTAAAGATCTGTATTCTGTGGTTATTACGGTCTGCTACGAAGATTTGTCTACCCTTATTAATGGCTATTCCAGCAGGGTAGTTGAACTCTCCATCGTTTTCACCTTTGCGACCAAAGGATCTTAAAAAAGTACCATTACTGTCAAACACTTGAACCCGATGATTATCGCAGTCAGCTACAACTATTTCGTCCTCAGCACCCACTGCCACACCCATAGGACGCTTAAACATTCCATCACCCGAGCCTTGCTTTCCAAAAGATAAAACAGGTTTGACTTGAAATGGTTTTAAAATCACAGTAAAAGGACTGCAAGAAATATGTTCCCCGTTTACCTTAACTAATAATTTGAATGTCCCCTGGACTATGGGAAAATAAGTGATTTTGTAGATTCCATTTTTGTTATCATCTATTTTCAATTGGGTCATGTATTCTCGTTCTTGTTCATCCTTGATCTCTACCTTTACACGGTCGTGTTCATTATACCACTGTTTTCTCTCCGCGTTTCTTGTGATCAAATTAAATTGAGCTTTACGCCCAACAGTTCCTTCTTTCAGTCCTTCACCTTCAGCCAAAAATTCGCTCGGTTTTTTTCGATAACCTTCTTCCATGCATAGGAAACCAAGTTCTTCCCCGTTGACGGTATCAATCGTCTTCTGATTTTCCACGAAAACTAAAGTTTGCAGACTACTGGGGTCATGAACAATAGGCTCGGTTTGATTAAATCCCTGAAAAATTGTTTGTAGTGATTTTTTGAGTTGAACAACTTCCGCGGTGGTACTTCGTTTTAAAAGTTTATCAGCTTCCTCCAGTGATGATTCGGTGGAATTTATCTGTTGCTGAATCGCACTTCTTTTTGCTTTTAAACTTTCGAGTGACTTCTTCGTTTGGTTCTCCACAGCGGTAATAATATTTTTCATTTTTGCTTGAATTGTTTTGATCAAGCCATCAGCAAACCTTTGGACATCTCTCCTGGCGATTTCATTTTGTTGAATCACTTTAGCACAGTCTTCGTCTAGTTGAACAATCACGTTTAGTTTTGCATCTAACCCTTCTCTCTGTGATTGGAGGATAGATTTTATTTCGAGTGTTTTGTTTTCGGCTTCTTCTTCGATTAATCTCAAATCATGACCTCCGTGATCCAGAGTGACGCAAGTTTGGCAAAGAACCGTTTCGCATTCTTTGCAGTAGTATTTAAGCTCTTCTTTCTGGTGTCGTTCCTTTGAACAAAACACTGGTCGCTTCAATACATCCTCATAGTCCTTGTTTTGAAACTCTTTCAACGCTAATACGCGGTGATCTTTTTTGTCTCGCATGGTATTATGACACATTAAGCAATGCTCGCAATAAAATATGCAACACTGGAAACAATACGAAGCTTCCGAGCACTTCTTGTCGCAGTTTCCGCATGTCACTTGAGTCTTTTTGCATTCTTTGATGGCAAGAACATCGATTAAGCCGTTCAAATAAAAGCTTGTTGGAAGATCTTTCAGATCACCGCTCGCGGGTACTCTGCTTAGGGTTTGGCAGTTTGGACATTTAATGGCCTGTCCACCGCCGCACGTTTCGTACCATCGATTCAGACACTTTAAGCAGAAACTGTGCAGACAGGAGAGATGTTTAGGATCCGTAAATAAGTCCGAGCACACCGAACAAGAAACTTCTTCACGAAGATTGTAAAACAGCGTTGTCAGATCCATGATGGCTTCAGGAAGAAAGGCAAAATGACCTTCGATGCACTCCACACCCAACAGTGAAGTCTTGTGACTTTCTATCTTTAGCTTTTCTCGGAAACAAAAGACGACGAGCCAATCACGATCGCTGTCGTAAGAGTCCTTGTCGCGCCAGCTTTAGTTTGTGATTTTAAATGCAGACGTAAAATCAATAACAGGATGAAGATTAAATCCTTTCGGAAGCAAGAATGCGTCAAAACCACGACTATGAAGGATATTAAATCAAGAGCGTGAGCATGTGTCAGTGTTGCTCCGTCTCTCTCCTCTATTTTGTTTGAGGGGAGGGGGGGGGGGGGTTACTGTACCCGTTCTATACCCGTTTTAAGGCCGAAACGGCCTCAAACACTTTAGGGCGGCACATACCTATGTGGGTAATATAATGGAGTAACCCCCCTTGACAGAGTCTAAACAAATGTCCGTGAAAGAATAATATTGCCAGGTTATATAGTTAACCCATGGACAAATCCCCCACGCTTCCCCTTAAGGGTTTAAACTAGGTTTAAAATTAGTAAGTTGTTCACGTTTTCCGAAAAAATTTTGGCCAAATTTATACGAATTTATAATATATTATAATAGTGTTAAAGTTCCCTAACAGGGCCGGCTATACAGCATAATTGTTTCTGTTACAAATCTTGTAGGGCTTATCACGTTAGGCAAATAACAACACAGCATAAGCCAGCAGCAGGATGTTGTAACTACCCTGACCCCCCTTTACGTCCCATTTATTTTTGTCGGTGGGGATATGAATTCGTTTAGTTGACATCTATTCTTTCTCTTGCAATGTGCTTATCTTTAGCGTAATTCTTTTTTGGCTAAGCTCAGTATATTAAGCTTTAGGAATATTATACTCGTGCCGGTAAGAGGTTGGGTGAATGACACTAAAAGACTTTCCCGCCTATATTGAGGGTCGTGAAATTTAGAAGCCTCTTGAGCTGGTACTTGACCTAGGTAATTGAACGTAATGTTAAATCTTATTGAGGGTAAAAATCTATATTCTAAGCCAAGAGAGAATAAAGTTCTCTTGTCTAAGCTTGAAGGATAGTTGACACGAGAAACAACTCTAAGCAAGGGAAATATTGCTGGATGCCGTTGTTTAGGGTGAGTGAGGCTCCATACACATAATTCCACTTACCCCCATGTCATTAGTTTCCCCTTTGGGTAGGATCACCGGTAAACCAGGGGAATTGTAAAATGGGCGGAGCAAAGATGACCAACTGGGGTGGGGGAATATAAAAAAAGGCCCCTAGTCAAAGTGCTTTTCAGTGAAGGACGTAGACTAACACAACTGAGTACAAACTCTTTGTTGTGAAATAAATGAGAGTCACGTTTACTCGTGCACAAAATAGACGTCTTGCCATCAAGGAAAGATCACTGCGTTAAAGCAGTAGGTTTGAATTTCGCTGGCGAGCCATCGCTTTTATAGACTTTTATTTCGGTATCCTCAGAATTGCAGGCTGTGTTGAGTTGCATGAATTCTATGTTGATCATCGCAAAGTGTGCTCGTTACTCCATGGTCTGTTTTCTCAAGGGACTACGAATTGGATTTGGATTTCCTTACAACCTGATTGGTCAGTTAAACAATGAATTTTTTAAAAGGCTAATCATGGGTGTATTCCAGTCCTGGTTCGCAGCTAGAGATTTAGTTTCGTTTGTGGCCAGGGCACTTGCAAATCAAATGAGTACAAAAGCTAACTTCACCAACATTTGCAACTTGTTTGTTGACTTACTTTCTTTCATAATGAATTATAAGAATTATTTAATATTATTTCTAGGCTCTTTGTCGCGTTTTCTTATGTACTGAATAGACATCTTATCACGAAGAGAAGAGAAAGCAAGTATTGGGTTTAAATTTTACTGTCAAGCATCGCTTTCATAGACTTCAAACCAGGCATGTTCAGAAATGCAGGCTTTTGGCTTATGTTAGTCATCTCAAAGTATCCTCGTGAATAAACGAGTGTTTCTGACACAAAAAGTTGTTTAAAACAATTCTTAGTTTGCCATGTTGGTGGTTAATACAATAAAAAAAAAAATTTCGAAGCGGATAGCAACGCTGTTGTTCTTGACCACACATGGCCGCCATGACGTCACAATTGCAAACCAGCAATAGTTAGCCTCATACAGTTGTAAAAGCTTTATTAGATTGTGGTGTGTAAATTATGTCAACTGCAATGTATGAATAAGGATAGAATTTCCTCACTCAAATTAAAAAGGTTGCCTGCCTTTTTGGAAATGAAAAAGAATATGCTTGATTGCGTGAGTGCAACAGTCCCAAATGTAATTTCAAATAGATGTACTCGTTATGAACTAGACGGGCTAATTTTTAGCTTTTAAAGAAAATTATTTCCTTGTTGCACGAAGAAGTAGTATATAGTAATTCAGAATATTTTAAAAGTAAATAATAGATGCCCACACTTTCATTTAACTTGGTTGATTAAAAGTTTTTTACAACAAAGTTACTGAGGAATAGAATGCAAGTGCTAAGCACAAGTAGAATGGTAAGTAAACCCTAAAAGCCCTTATATCAGTATCCATATTCTCCGCACTTCTCTCCAGTCTGATACCAATGAGGAGAATTTCTTTGTTGATATTTTCTATTTCTCATGACCTGTAAGGTGATGGTAAACGGTACGATTCGCAACGAAGATTTTTAGACCAACACAGCGTTGCAATGTTGAAACTTCGTTAAAATGTTGTAACGCTGTGTTGCGCTAAAAATCCTCGTTGCGAATCGTCTCGTGTAACCTCACCTAGCCTGTTCTAGGCGTTCAGATAGTAGAGCGCGGCGGCCAGTGGGGAGCGAGTTAAATTGAACATCGGGAAAACGGAGGGAGGCTCTCGTTTTTTTTCTTCGTGAATGTTTCCCCGCATTCTACTATCTGAACGCCTGAAACAGGCTAAACCTCACCTTTAGAGGTAATTAGGCATGAAAATTCTAACGAAAAATAAGATGGTAGACCCTATTAGGGCTTCAAGGGTTATACACTACTAAATATTGCATAGAATATAGTTGAAATTCAATAAATGAAGCTGTTAGTTTGAAGTCTGTATCCTTCCGTGCTCTTTGTATCCACGACCGAAAAGGGAGGAAACGATCTCACAAAATAAGAATAAAAGAACTTACAAAACTACAAACCTGAACTGTCATTCGCCACTTTAGAAGGGAGGAAACTGCATAGATTCAACAAAAGCTTAAAAAGTCTTTGCATTTACCAGCTGAAATTTTTTAAAAATGTTTGCTTAAAAACAATAATTGCAATAAACGACTCCTTCGAGCAAATGAGACAGCCATACGAGTACATGTTGAAAATGAATAGGTCCTGAAGTGCAGAGTTTAAGGGTCCACTTGCCTTCACGGTACCATCTATTGTGAAGTGCGCTCAAGACATTGTCAGAGAGCTTGTACTTGAACAACCACGACAGTGACGACATGAAATTTGAATTCAATTCACGGTGTTGTAAACTTCATCACCGTTAGGCTACATGCAAACGGACGCAACAACTCCCAACATTGTTGCACTCCCAACATTGTTGCGCCAACAATGTTGGGAGTTGTCGCGTTGGTGTTGGCAGTGGTGTGCAAACGGATGCAACAACTCCCTACAATGTTGGGACCTGCAGTGCAACGTGGGAAGGATACAACCCATAAGTCTTTGTAAACCACGCGTAATGTGCGTGCGTGGTCCCAACAGTGTTGGAAGAGCTGTGCAAACGAATCCAACATTGTTGCGCTACGCTTCGGCGATCACGGAACAAAAGAAATGTTGGGAGTTGTTGGCTGAAAAGTTTGACCAGTTTCAAACTTTGCGCAACAACACGCAACAACATCCAACAACATGCAACAGGGTGTGCAAACGGACGCAACATGTAACATCCAACAATGTTGGGAGTTGTTGGTCAACTATGTTGCGTCCGTTTGCACGCAGCCTTATACTAGTCATTCACTTTGTCAAATTTTGGCGAATTTTTATGGAGTTGAATAAATCCAAATGGACTATATCAAAGTGCAGCCGAGGTAAAAAAAGAAAAATGGAGTTATGTGTTTACTTGGTCCAAAAAATGTGACACTTTAATTATAGGCATTTTCACATCGTAGTTAGTATGCAAAGCACGTGCGAGTTGTTATTCTGGTAATTTCACCCCATGGCTTTTCGCCGTTCTTGTCAGTGCTTAAGCTTCCGACTTCCACCGTTAATAACACCAGGATATGAAAGATGTTAATGGAGGAGAGTTACTGCAACGCGACATGAGGAGCATAGTTAGAAGGTAAGAATTGTGACTCATTCTTAACATGGCCAGCAGTCTTATCACCAGATGTTTTGTTTTTTGGTGCCAGTTTTCTCGGTTAAAAATCTTCTTATTTCATTTGAGTAATAACAGACTGACGCTCTTTTGGTCGTTTCAGTGGGTAAAATATCTTTTTTCCGGTATCTGTAAGATTTTCGTTGAATTTTTCACTTTTTAATTGATTTTCAATGACCTCTCCACCCAAATTAGCATAGCATTCCACAGTTTCAGTTATTCAAAACTTCGTATCTCCCAAAGGCTGAATTCAAATCTTTCGCCTCAGGGACTTTTCGGTCAAATGAATTTTAAATCTCCTTCCTCGAGAATATGCCTATTGAATATTTATAAGTTTTTGAAGCACAAATAGATATTTAGCAATAAGCTAGTGTCTGTTTTTTAAAACGCTCACAACTGCCACATTTCTGTTTCTTGGTTGAGAATGAATGTTACTAAGAATTAAAGAAGAAATCGTTTATTAATTACAGAACTTTATTAAAAAAATATTCAACAAATAAGTTATGAACAAAACTTGATTTAAGACCACAAGGTTTCACCAAAAAGGTTCACCTCGGACCGATTAAATGCGGCTTCACTTAGCACCGCTGTACACCTGACAAATACATTTATTAATCAAAGAGGGATTGGCTTACTATATAGCTTCCTCCGGAAGAAAAGAACAATTTTTATTGGAATATCTGAATTCGATGATTGTCTTTGTCGCTCACAACAATTTGATCATTACTTAGAACAGCTACTGAGAATGGATAATTGAATTCTCCTAATTTGTTGCCATATGTTCCAAATTTTCCTACAAACTTCCCATTCAGTTCAAAGACTTGTATTCTATGATTTCTCCGATCACAAACCAACAGGTGCTTTGACTGAGTCACTGACAGAAAACATGGATAATTAAACTCCCCGTCCCCCTCCCCCTGCTTACCAAACTTGTACTGAAAATTTCCCTCCCTGTTAAATACTTTAATACAGTGTTCATCTGAGTCTAACACTATGAAATATTCACCACACTGAACACAGTGAACAGGAAAACTTAAAGAACCCTGCCCACCTATCTTCATTACAAACCTACCATCCGGGGTAAAGATCTTAATCAGTTTGTTACCTTTGTCAGCAACAATAATATTACCAATAGTATCTAAGGATAAACACCAAGGGTCAGAGAGCTGACTATCAAGGTTTCCTACGCCGCCAAATGAACTTAGGTACCTCCCCTCCCAACTGAGGATCTGTACTCTATGGTTACTATACTCTGCTACAAAAATATTTCTATCCTTATCAATGGCTATTCCAAAAGGGTTGTCGAACTCTCCATCATTTTTGCCTTTGTGACCAAAGGATCTTAAGAAAGTACCATTACTGTCAAAGACTTGAACCCGATGGTTGCACTGATCAGCTACTACTATTTCGTCCCCATCACTCACTGCCACCCCCAGAGGATACCTAAACATTCCATCACCCGAGCCTTCCTTTCCAAAATATAAAACAGGTTTGACTTGAAATGGTTTTAAAATCACAGTAAAAGGACTACAAGAAATATGTTCCCCGTTCACCTTAACTAATAATTTGAATGTTCCTTGAACTCTGGGATAATAAGTGATTTTGTAGGTCCCATCTTTGTTATTATTTATTCGCACTTCCGTCACGCATTCTTGTCCTTTCTCGTCCTTGATCTCCGCCGTTACACTATCATGTTTATTGTACTCTTGCTTTTTCTCCGCGTTTCTTGTGGTCAAATTGAATTGAGCTTTACGCGCTACAGTTCCTTCTTTCAGTCCTTCACCTTCAGCCAGAGAATCACTTGCTTTTGTTCGGTAGGGTTCTTTCCAGAATCCAATTTCTTCCGCGTTGACGATATCAAGCATCTTCTGATTTTCCACGAAAACAAAAGTTTGCAGACTACTGGGGTCATGAACAATAGGCTCGGTTTGATTCAATCCCTGAAAAATTGTTTGTAGTGATTTTTTGAGTTCAACAACTTCCGCATTGGTGCTTCGTTTTAAAAGTTTATCAGCTTCCTCCAGTGATGATTCGGTGGCATTTATCTGTTGCTGAATCGCACTTCTTTTTGCTTTTAAACTTTCGAGTGACTTCTTCGTTTGGTTTTCCACAGCGGTAATAATATTTTTCATTTTTGCTTGAATTGTTTTGATCAAGCCATCAGCAAACCTTTGGACATCTCTCCTGGCGATTTCACTTTGTTGAATTACTTTAGCACAGTCCTCGTCTAGTTGAACAATCACGTTTAGTTTTGCATCTAACCCTTCTCTCTGTGATTGAAGGATAGATTTTATTTCGAGTGTTTTGTTTTCGGCTTCTTCTTCGATTAATCTCAAATCATGACCTCCGTGATTCAAAGTGACGCAAGTTTGGCAAAGAGCTGTCTCGCATTCTTTGCAGTAGTATTTAAGCTCTTCTTTCTGGTGTCGTTCCTTTGAACAAAACACTGGTCGCTTCAATACATCCTCGTAGTCCTTGTCTTGGAACTCTTTCACTGCCAATACGCGGTGTTCTTTTTTGTCTCGCATCATATTGTGACCAACCAGGCATTTCTCGCAATAAAATATGCAACACTGGAAACAATACGAAGCTTCTGAACTCTTCTTGTCGCAGTTTCCGCATGTAACTTGAGTCTTCTTGCATTCTTTGATGGCAAGAACATCGATTAAGCCGTTCAAATAGAAGCTGGTTGGAAGATCTTTTAGATCACCGCTCGCAGGCACTCTGCTTAGGGTTTGGCACTTCGGGCATTTAATGGTCTGTCCGCCGCCGCACGTTTCGTACCATCGATTCAGACACTTCAAGCAGAAACTGTGCAGACAGGAGAGATGTTTAGGATCCGTAAATAAGTCCGAACACACTGAACAAGACACTTCTTCTCGAAGATTGTAAAATAGCGTTGTAAGATCCATGATGGCTTCAGGAACAAAGGCGAAGTGACCTTCGATGCACTCCACACCCAACAATGAAGTCTTGTGACTTTCTATCTTTAGCTTTTCTCGGAAACAAAAGCCGACGAGCCAATCACGATCGCTGTTGTAAGAGTCCTTGTCGCGCCAGCTTTAGTGTGCCATTTTCAGGGGCACCCAACGACAATTTTCGGAAAAATATCTGTTCGGAAGACGATTTGAGATCTAGAATTTTCGAAACATTTGTTGTAAAATTTCTTGCCCGCCTGCCTCTCCTAGGATTTTCGAACATCTAAAAAATGGTTTAATCGCCTATTTTTAACGGATTTTTACCCTAAAAAGGTCACCTAGAATTTTCGGGAGCCTTTTTTCTGGCTGAAATTTTCGAAAAGGTAAGTTTTGATCCCTATAATTTTGGGATCACTAGACTTTCAGCTAGGAAATCCCAACAGATGAAAAATGTTTAGGGGATAAAAATATGCCTTTATCTACCGTTTAAATACTAAAATACGTTTAACAATGCTATGTTTAAGTGGTTTTGAACTATATTCTCGTTTGGTGCCCCTGCATTTTAAATGCAAATTATTTTAAAAGTAAACCAGACGTAAAACGATCAATAACAAGATGAAGACTAAATCCTTTGTGAAGCAAGAATGCGTGAAAGCCATAACTATGAAGGATGCTAAATCAAGTACGAGTGCAGAGTAAATAAAAGCAAAACATCTGTTAGCTTGTGTACTGCCGCCCCGTCTCTCTCCTCTATTTTGTTTGAGGGGAGGGGCTGACTGTACTCGTTCTATTGCCGTTTTAAGAGCGAAACTTTAAAGCGGCACATACCTATATGGGTAACTAATGAAGTACCCCCCCCCCCGGACACAGTCTAAACAAACGTCTTCGAAAGTATTATTAGCAATTTTTTTAATTGTTTGCTTAAAGCAATAATTGCAAATGCGACAGCCATACGCGTACATGTTGCAAATAAATGAATAGACTTATTGCTTTTTGCCGTTCTCGTCGTTGCTTAACTGGGGCTTCCGATTTCCACCGTTGATAACAGCACGAGAGGAAAGAAGTTTAATACTGGAGGAGAGTGATTGCAACGCGACATGAGGGGTTTGGTCGAAAACAGGTAAAAATTGTATATATATTCCGCCTTAACATGCTAAGCAGTCTTTATAATCATTATAACACTAATTAAGAATTTATTTGGTGCCAGGTTTCTCGGTTAAAAAGTTCCTTCATTTAGAATAAGCTCTAATAACCTGTCACTCTTTTGGTCGTTTCAGTAGGCTGAATATGTTTTTTCGCCATCTATAAGGTTTTTGTTGAATTTTTCACTTTTTAATTTATTTCCAATGACCTCCCAATCTTAATTAGCATAGCATTCCACTGTTTCAATCATTCAACTCCGTATCTTCCCAAGCCTCAATTCAAATCTCTCGCCTCAGGGAATTTTCTGTCAGACGACTTTCTCATGTCCTTCCACGAGAATATGCCTATTGAATATTTATAAGTTTTTCAAGCAAAAATAGATATTAATTTAGCAATCACGTATTTCTGTTCAAAAAAAGCTTACCACTGCCACCTTTCTGTAACTTGGTTGAGAATGAATGTTAGTAAGAATTAAAGAAGAAATCGTTTATCGAATACAGAACTTTATTAAAAGAATATCCAAGTCAACTCACTCCTTTAACAAATACGTTATGTACATAACTTGATTTAAGACCACAAGGGTTCACCTCGGACTAAATGCGGCTTCACTTGCCTACAATAAGATTATAGCACTGCTGTACAGCTGACATATACATTTATTAATCAAAGAGAGATTTGCTTACTCCTTTCCTCCGGGAAAAAAGGACAGTTTTTATTGAAATATCTGAATTCGATGATTATTTTTGTCGCACACAACAATTTGATCATTACTTAGAACAGCTACTGAGAATGGTTCCTTGAATTCTCCTAATTTGGTGCCATTTGTTCCAAACTTTCCGACAAACTTCCCATCTAGTTCAAAGACTTGTATTCTATGATTTTTCATATCACAAACCAACAGGTGCTTTGACTGAGTCACTGACAGAAAACGTGGCCGATGAAACTCCCCGTCCCCCTCTCCCTTCTTACCAAACTTGTACTGAAAATGCCCCTCCCGGTTAAATACTTTGATACAGTGTTCACCTAAGTCTGAAACTATGAAATATTCACCACACTGAACACAGTGAACAGGAAAAGTAAAAGAACCCTGTCCACCTATCTTCATTACAAACCTACCATCGGGGGTAAAGATCTTAATCAGTTTGTTACCTGCATCAGCAACAATAACATTACCAGTGCTATGTAAGGATAAACCCCAAGGGTCAGAGAGCCGACTATCAAGCCTTCCCTGGCCGCCAAATGAACCCAGGTGCCTTCCCTCCCAACTAAGAATCTGTATTCTGTTGTTATCACTGTCTGCTGCAAAAATATTCCTGTCCTTATCAATGGCTATTCCAACAGGGTGGTTGAACTCTGCATTGTTTTCACCTTTGTGACCAAAGGATCTTAAGAAAGTACCTTTACTGTCAAACACTTGAACCCGATGGTTAGACTGATCAGCTACTGCTATTTCGTCCCTATCACTCACAGCCACCCCCAGAGGATACTCAAACATGCCATCACCCGAGCCTTCCTTTCCAAAAGATAAAACAGGTTTGACTTGAAATGGTTTTAAAATCACAGTAAAAGGACTACAAGAAATATTTTCCCCGTTTACTTTAACTAATAATTTGAATGTCCCCTGAAATATGGGAAAATAAGTGATTTTGTACGTCCCATCTTTGTTATCATCTATTCGCACTTCCGTCACGCATCCTTGTCCTTGATCGTCCTTGATCTCTAACGTGACACGGTCCCCTTCATCACACCACTGCTTCCTCTCTGCGTTTTTGGTGATCAAATTGAATTGAGCTTTACGCGCTACAGTTCCTTCTTTCAGTCCTTCACCTTCAGCCAGTGATTCACTTGCTTTTGTTTGAGAAGGTTCTTCCAAGAATCCAATTTCTTCCTCGTTGACGATGTCAAGCATCTTCTGATTTTCCACAAAAACAAAAGTTTTCAGACTACTGGGGTCATAAACAATAGGCTCGGTTTGATTCAATCCATGAAAGATTGTCTGTAACGATTTTTTAAGTTGAACAACTTCCGCGGTGGTGCTTCGTTTTAAAAGTTTATCAGCTTCCTCCAGTGATGATTCGGTGGCATTTATCTGTTGCTGAATCGCACTTCTTTTTGCTTTTAAACTTTCGAGTGACTTCTTCGTTTGGTTTTCCACAGCGGTAATAATATTTTTCATTTTTGCTTGAATTGTTTTGATCAAGCCATCAGCAAACCTTTGGACATCTCTCCTGGCGATTTCACTTTGTTGAATCACTTTAGCACAGTCCTCGTCTAGTTGAGCAATTACATTCAGTTTTGCATCTAAGGCTTCTCTCTGCGATTGAAGGATAGATTTTATTTCGAGTGTTTTGTTTTCGGCTTCTTCTTCGATTAATCTCAAATCATGACCTCCGTGATTCAAAGTGACGCAAGTTTGGCAAAGAGCTGTTTCGCATTCTTTGCAGTAGTATTTAAGCTCTTCTTTCTGGTGTCGTTCCTTTGAACAAAACACTGGTCGCTTCAATACATCCTCGTAGTCCTTGTCTTGGAACTCTTTCACTGCCAATACGCGGTGTTCCTTTTTGTCTCGCATCATATTGTGACCAACCAGGCATTGTTCGCAATAAAATATGCAACACTGGAAACAATACGAAGCTTCTGAACTCTTCTTGTCGCAGTTTCCGCATGTCACTTGAGTGCTTTTGCATTCTTTAATAGCAAGAACATCGATCAAGCCGTTCAAATAAAAGCTAGTTGGAAGATCTTTCAGATCACCGCTTGCTGGTATTCTGCTTAGGGCTTGGCACTTTGGACATTTAATGGCCTCTCCACCGCCGCACGTTTCGTACCATCTTTTTAGACACTTTAAGCAGAAACTGTGAAGGCAGGAGAGATGTTTAGGATCCGCAAATAAGTCCGAGCACACCGAACAAGACACTTCTTCGCGAAGATTGTGAAATAGCTTTGTTAGATCCATGATGGCTTCAGGAACAAAGGCAAAATGACCTTCGATGCACTCCACACCCAACAATGAAGTCTTGTGACTTTCTATCTTTAGCTTTTCTCGGAAAGAAAGGACGACGAGCCAATCACAGATTGCTATTGTGAAACTTAAACCAGACGTAAAATGATCAATAACAAAAAAAGATTATCGTAAATCCTCTATTAAGCCCCCCGGGGGGCTGGTAAGTCCTTTGTGAAGCAAGAATGCGTGAAAGTCACAAGTATGCACGAAGTGTATAAAACCAAGAACGGTTGAGGCGTAGATAAAAGCAAAACAACTGTTAGCCTGTGTTCTGCCGGTCCCGTCAGTCTCTCCCCAATTTTGTTTAAGGGGAGAGGGTGACTTTACACAGTCTAAAAAACCCTCTGTGAAAGTACTATATATTATCGTGTTAGTTAACCCACGGACCAATCTTAACGCCTTAAAGCGGATTTATATTACTAGAACTTCTTCTCATTAGTAGATGTTTATGCTTTCTACTTTCATGCGTTTAGTACAAGTCTATAGTATAATCTGATTGTGTCACAGGTCCCTAACAGAGCCTGCTATACAGCACAATTGCTTCAGTTACAAATCGCGACAGCTAAACTAACACAGCGTAACCTAGGCCCAGGCCCCCTCGTTTCACGGTGGGGATTTATGTTTCAATTATATCATCTTTTCTTGACCTTGGAATGTTTTAGCGTAATTCGTTTTTGTCCAGAGTCATTCTATTTAGCATTAGAAATATCATACAGAGGTTGTGTAACGACACTTAAAAAGTAAATCCTTAATACACAAACTCAAAAAGTTCAAAGCAGTTCGTACTTTTGCAGTATTTGTACTTTCATACTTTTTTGTTTTAGAGCGAGCGGGATTGATAAACGCCAATTTTTGGCCTCGTTTTTTGGCTAAACTTAGTTCACAGTACTCACAGTTAGCATCAAGAAAAAGTGACCTAATAGGCCATTTTACAGTTAAAATTGGAAACGAGGCTGCCTTTGACCTTGTTTTGATACAACCTTTCCTGCATTATTATCCAAATGATGTTGTTCTTATGCTAACTAGTATTTTTTATTATACTTTTTATAAGAAAAGAATGAACAAGGTCAACCTCAGCCTCACGTTCACTCAAAGGCTAGGACACTAAGCCCACAACCGTGAAATGGTCTATTACATAACATTTTGACGGGATACGTAGACTTCATTCTCTATTTATTGCTATGTTTCTTTTCTTCAATCTAAAAGTTGTGTTTACCACGTATGCTCAATTTGACTTGTGCGAAAAAATTTCTAAAGGGACTGAAATGGTTGCAACAGCTTAGGTGTTAAGAAAAAAGAGACGAAACCGTCGTTCTCGACAAAACCTTTAATTTTATTATTGGACTACGGCAGAGAAACATTCTAAAATACCGGTATAAAGCGCGCGAACAGAGGCATTGTTGTGATTCATCGAAGCGTTAGTTTTGTGCTGTTCTTGCTGCATTCATCATCGTGGTTATTTAAACCTCTGTACTGATGCAAAACGAGAAATTTTGACGTCATCGCTCCCTTCCCTCTTAAATCCGTCACTGAATTTTTTTATGGCACAGGTTGTCGAAACGTCACTCACTGTCAATAACATTCCTATTCAGGGCTACGATCACGTGGACGATCAGGCTCCTTCTACTTATAAAATATTTATGTTCATTCGTAAATGATCAGTTGATTCATCGTGGTGCCAAATCGATCGTATAACCAGGTTACATCTTGGACTTGAGTGCTTCCTTCAGCTCAAGTTTAGCCACTGCCTCCAAATGAACCTCATCCGGGCCATCAGCAATGCGCAGACTCCGAGCTCCTGTGTAGAAATAAGCCAGCGGTGTATCCTGGGATACTCCCTTCCCACCATGCACCTGAATCGCTCGGTCAATAACGTTACAGGCCATGCGAGGAACTGCGATCTTTGCCATAGCAATCTGCAAGAGTTAAACAGTGAAGTTCTCAATCGATGTAAAACAGTCTTGTGCCACTCTTTTTCAAGCAATTCTCCGCTGGAATTTGGTAGGTTCACCAGGTAAGCAAATTCAATATCATTTGTCATGGCAAGACAGATCACTACTGAAATTTTCGCCATCAAACTAATCTTGCTATAACAGCACACTACTATTACCAAAAAAGAGGTATATACAAGAAAAGGTTCAGCTGTTTCATTCGTGTTCACAGCTCCGTACTTTCTTTCTCACACAGAGCCGCCAGAGAAACTTCAAGTTGAGATAGAGAACATTAGGGAGCTTACGCGAAAACGACGGTGACGTCTACGAAAGCGTCACTACAAACGTGAATTCGCGTTGCTTCAAACCTTATCGCGCTTATTCCAACTCGTTCAATTCGTCAAATGTTGGCAAAATTTCTGGGGTTGTATTCTAAAACACTATATTAAAGTTCAGGAAAAGAACAAGAAAGTCGTTGTCTTCGTTCTCGTCCTGGACAAAACGTGAACTTAGGCACTTTCACCGGTTGTAGCCGTATAGCGACGGCAAAGAAATGTACAAAAAAGCGTGATGCACGTGCAAAAATCCAATCTAATTATAAACCCAGGGTTCGTACTGTTTTGAGCTTTTCAAATTCCATGAATTTTTCCATGACCTTTTTAAGTTTTCCAAGATCTTAGGTTTAGCTGTCACTTTCAAACCTTTTTAGGACTTTCCTTGTTTTGTGATATTTCTGGACCTTAAACAGTTCAACAGACACAAACTCTGGTGTCCACCAAAATGCGTGCCGTTCGCGCTGTTCAATTACTTGTCTCTATTTTATATTGTCCTTGCCTTGTCATCGGCAGTAACTAATCTATCAAACAAAATTTTAATTTTCCATGACTCTCAAGGACCGACAATTAAATTTCATGCCTTTCCAGGCCTTGTAAGTGAAATTCCTAAATTCCATGACTTTTCAGGTTTTCCATGACCCGTACGAAACCCTGTAAACCTTTTCTTTTTATTTGCCGTTCTCGTGGTCGTCGCCGTCGTCGTTGCTTAAGCTCCCAACAAAGAACGCACGTTGCAACAACTGAGGAGGATCAATTCGGCTTGGTCACTAACTTAAGTCACACTAAACTGTAGACTAGAACTATAAAGGGTGCCACACGTGTGACATTCCCGACACCCTGGTTTCCCTGTGCTCCCAATACTGCTGACATACCCACCTGTGTTCTTGCAGCTTTGTTTCCATGGTAATCGATGGTGTGTGCCGCCTTCAGCACAAGCAGTCTGGCTTGTTCAATTTCAATTCTTGACAGAGCGATCTGCTCCTGTACCATTCCCTAAAGAAACATCAGTGATACAACGTTTTAGTAACTGCAATACACGACCAGACTATCATACGACGGGTTCCTTATCACGAGTATAATCTATTGAGGTAAGTGGTATTACTACTTGTGGCCTTGCCTAGTCCCTAAGCCTCGTTGGCAACAAAACTTCTCAACGTTATCGTCCGGCGTACACGTTTTACCTACCAGTAGGATCAAATTGCCATGTTTGGCTAACAGATTCAGTCGTGTAACAGGGCCTTGAACCTTCTACTACAAACCTTTTCGGCCAAACGCTTTCCAAAGGCCACTCTCTCTAAAGACCGCTGAACCATAAGTTCGAGTGATCGTTCTGCTAGTCCAATTGAACGCATGCAGTGGTGTATTCGCCCAGGACCCAAACGGCCTTGAGCTATCTCAAATCCTCGCCCTTCCCCTGTCATGAAACAAAAGCAACAAGAATAAAAACAAAGAAGAGTTGAATATTTTAACATTACACGGATGATGTTTGTAACTCATCATAACTTCGCAGAAATTTGCTAGGGTAAACTAGTTCATGAAAATCCCTTTTTAATAAATTAAAAATAAAGCATAATTAACAATTATTCCTCGAGCCCGAATGGGCTATTGACTCAGAGGCCATAAGGGCGAGAGGAATAATTGTTTAGTAAAATCCAACTAGTTGGTCAAAAATATCGAGAATAAAAAAATTTTAGCTAGTTAAAATCTAGACTTTAATCCTTTTTTGCCGCCAAAAAGCCCGCGCTTTTCGCTACTATTGGGCTATAACATATATAACCAATCAGAACGCAACATTGATAATAGACCACTAGTTGGATTTTACGAATACCCTTGGGTGAAAGAGTACACCAAACACTTGCGGATCATTAAAGATAATAGGGGTAAGAGTCCACAAGGATTTCAAATAAATGTGATAATAATTTTAGCTAGGTGGTTAATATAGAAACTTAAATACTCATTTTCGTAGTTCCAATTCACTTTACATGAGTAAATCTTCGTAAAGACGAGCTCAAAAATTGAAGAGTTGAAGACTGAATTTGCCGCGGATTCATCATAAATTCAGAATTATAGTTGAAATTCACAATGTCAGCGATTTTCTTCGGTCTATGTGACTGATAGTACCATGAGATTTAACTCTTGAATACATACCCAGTATACGACATGAAAATGCCTATTTTTAGTCTTTATAAAGGACACAAACACGAGACAATGAATTTCTCTGTCTCTTTCTAAACTTGAGTGCAGTCCCCAAGAAATCAACTGCAGGGAAATTCGCTTAAATTTGACATTTTCAACGAACTGGAATAAAAAGTGAAGTTTTCGCTGCCGTCGCCGTCGTCGATGTTAAAGCGGCAACAAAAACGTGAATTCACGGTGTTGCAAACTTCATCGCCGTTATTCCATGTCATTCACTTTGTCAAATTTTTGGCGAATTTTGTTGGCAGGAATTTAATAAATCCTAAAGGATTGTATCAAAGTACAGGTAAAGAAAAAGAAAATTGGTGTCATTTGTTTACTTCACGGTCTTCCAATAAACGTGAAATTTTAATTAGGCATTTTCACGTCGTAGTCGTGCAAAGACGGCAAAGAAATTTACAAAATAGCGTTGTGTACGTGCAGAGTTGTTGTGTTGCTAATCTTAACCTATTCGTCACATGCACATCTCCCAAAATGCACCTTATTTGCCCCCCAAAATTTTGCATAAGCATTGTTTTCAATTTCTCTTGGGACGGCTTTAATACCCAGGAGAAATGAAAATCAAAGGTTATACAAAATTTTGGGGGGCAAACAAGGTGTATTATGGGAGATGTGCAAGTGGCGAATTGCTTTTTTCGAAAAAACGTTCTCGTTGCCCTCGCCGTTGTTGTTGTTGTTTAAGCTCGGCTGTTTCCACAGTTGATAACGGTACGTTAATAAGGGAGAGTGATTTCAAAGCGACATGAAGGGCAATGGAAATTTTACGTAAATGCATACTGGTAAGAACTGTTTATATGACTCATTCTTCACTTGTTAAGCAATATTTTCATTTCGAAATGTATTGTTTTCGATGTTTTCTTGGTTAAAAAACTCCGTATTTGAGTAACTTCTATCAGACTCTTTTTTGGTCTTTTCAATAGGCTGAGAATGTATTCTGGCATCTGTAAGGTTTTCGTTGAATTTTTCACTTTTTAATTGATTTCCAAATGCAAATGATGACCTGTCGATCTTAATTAGTATTCCATTGTTTCAGTCATTCAACTCCCCGCCAAAAGCTGAATTCAAATCCCTCCTCTCACTTTTCGGTCGTCAGATGAATTTTACATGTCCCTCCCCCATATTTATAAGTTTTTGAGCACAAATAGATATTTAGAAATAACACATTTCTGTTTTAAAAAAGCCTACTACTGCTACCTTTCCGTAACTTGGTTGAGAATGAATATTAGTAAGAATTAAAGAAGAAATCGTTTATCGAATACAGAACTTTATTAATAGAATATTCAAGTTAACTCATTCCTTTAACAAATAAGTTATGTACATAACTTGATTTAAGACCACACGGTTTCAGCTCGGATTAAATGTGGCTTCACTTGCCTACAATACCATTATAGCACTGCTGTACAGCTGACAAATACAAATATTAATCAAAGAGAGATCTAGATTTGCTTACTCCTTTCCTCATGTTCCTCCGGGAAAGAAAGACAATTTTTATTGAAATATCTGAAACCGATGATTATTTTTGTCGCACACAACAATTTGATCATTACTTAGAACAGCTACCGAGAATGGTTCCTTGAATTCTCCTAATTTGCTGCCATTTGTTCCAAATTTTCCAACAAACTTCCCATCTAGTTCAAAGACTTGTATTCTATGATTATCCCAATCACAGACCAACAGGTGCTTTGACTGAGTCACTGACAGAAAAGATGGATAATTAAACTCCCCATCCCCCTCCCCCTGCTTACCAAACTTGTACTGAAAATGCCCCTCCCTGTTAAATACTTTGATGCAATGTTCAAGTGAGTCTGAGACTATGAAATATTCACCACAATGAACACAGTGAACAGGCCAACTAAAAGAACGCCGCCCACGTATCTTCATTACAAATCTACCATCCGGGGTAAAGATCTTAATCAGTCTGTTCCCTGTATCAGTAACAATAACATTACCAGTACTATCTAAGGATAAACCCCAAGGACCAGACAGCTGACTATCAAGGCTTCCTTGGCCGCCAAATGAACCCAGGTGCCTCCCCTCCCAACTAAAGATCTGTACTCTATGGTTACCCCAGTCTGATATGAAAATATTTCTATCCTTATCAATGGCTATTCCCGTAGGATTATCTAACTCTCCAGCATTTTCACCTTTGTGACCAAAGGAACTTAAAAAAGTACAATTACTGTCAAACACTTGAACCCGATGGTTTACATGGTCAGCTACTACTATTTCGTCCCTGTCACTCACTGCCACCCCAAAAGGATGCTTAAACATTCTATCACCCGAGCCTTCCTTTCCAAAAGATAAAAGAGGTTTGACTTGAAATGGTTTTACAGTCACAGTAAAAGGACTACAAGAAATATGTTTCCCGTTTACCTCAACTAATAATTTGAATGTCCCCTGAACTATGGGAAAATAAGTGATTTTGTAGATTCCATTTTCGTTACTATCTATTTTCACTTGAGTCACGCATTCTCGTTCTTGTTCGTCCTTGATCTCTACCTTTACATGGTCGTGTTCATTATACCACTGTTTTCTCTTCGCGTTTCTTGTGATCAAATTAAATTGAGCTTTATGCCCAACAGTTCCTTCTTTCAGTCCTTTACCTTCAGCCAAAAATTCGCTCGGATTTTTTCGGTAACCTTCTTCCATGCACAGGAAACCAAGTTCTTCCCCGTTGACGTTGTCAATCGTCTTCTGATTTTCCACGAAAACCAAAGTTTGCAGACTACTGGGGTCATGAACAATAGGCTCGGTTTGATTCAATCCGTGAAAAATTGTTTGTAGTGATTTTTTGAGTTGAACAACTTCCGCATTGGTGCTTCGTTTTAAAAGCCTATCAGCTTCCTCCAGTGATGATTCGGTGGCATTTATCTGTTGCTGAATCGCACTTCTTTTTGCTTTTAAACTTTCAAGTGACTTCTTCGTTTGGTTTTCTACAGCGGTAATAATATTTTTCATTTTTGCTTGAATTGTTTTGATCAAGCCATCAGCAAACCTTTGGACATCTCTCCTGGCGATTTCACTTTGTTGAATCACTTTAACACAGTCTTTGTCTAGTTGAACAATTACGTTCAGTTTTGCATCTAACTCTTCTCTCTGCGATTGAAGGATAGATTTTATTTCGAGTGTTTTGTTTTCGGCTTCTTCTTCGATTAATCTCAAATCATGACCTCCGTGATTCAAAGTGACGCAAGTTTGGCAAAGAACTGTTTCGCATTGTTTGCAGTAGTATTTAAGCTCTTCTTTCTGGTGTCGTTCCTTTGAACAAAATACTGGTCGCTTCAATACATCCTCGTAGTCCTTGTCTTGGAACTCTTTCACTGCCAATACGCGGTGTTTCTTTTTGTCTCGCATCATATTGTGACCAACCAGGCATCGCTCGCAATAAAATATGCAACACTGGAAACAATACGAAGCTTCCGAGCTCTTCTTGTCGCAGTTTCCGCATGTCACTTGAGTGCTTTTGCATTCTTTAATAGCCAGAACATCGATCAAACCGTTTAAATAAAAGCTTGTTGGAAGATCTTTCAGATCACCGCTTGCTGGTATTCTGCTTAGGGTTTGGCACTTTGGACATTTAATGGCCTCTCCACCGCCGCACGTTTCGTACCATTGATTCAGACACTTTAAGCAGAAACTGTGCAGACAGGAGAGATGTTTAGGATCCGTAAATAAGTCCGAGCACACCGAACAAGTCACTTCTTCGCGAAGATTGTGAAATAGCGTTGTTAGATCCATGATGGCTTTAGGAACAAAGCGAAGTGACCTTCAATGCACTCCACACCCAACATTGAAGTATTGTGACACTTTCTATCTTTAGCTTTTTTCGGAAACAAAGGCGTATGAACCAATCACGGATCGCTGTTGTAAGAGTCCCTGCGGTGCCAGCTTTAGCTTGCGATAAATTGTCAATCATCTTTAAACATGCAAACAATAAATGATTAATAATAAGTAACACCTGGCGTGGCCTCAGCTTTAAAAGGTGGAAATTGCCTTCGAAAAGCGGTCGGCGTACTAAAGCGAGTAAAAACTGAAACATCTATCTCTGAAATTTTCAGGTCTTGCTGGTTAGGTTTTTTCTTTTTCCTCCTTCTTTCGAGTCATCGACTGATGAAAGCTAAGCGATTTAGCTGAAACATCTCGTAGGAAATATTCTATTCCGATCCTGTATATAATTTCGTTTCATTATTGTCAACGGAACGTGAAATGAACTTTTTCGCTTCTGGAACTTTTTTATTTGCAAGAGACGTGTTTCTCGACAGGCAAATAATCAAATCCTTCTTAAGCCACCCTGGTGGGTAGCAAAGACTTTTGTTTATCCGCGAGCTTGATCGTGAGACCCTTTGTATACACGGACAGAAGCGAAAATTTGCATTACTCTGTTTTACCGTCTAGTACAAATGTGGTTTCTACCAGAGAAAGAAAACAAAAAAGATGTTCCATAGTTTACTTTGATTCTTACCTAAACTGAGCTCCAGCTGCCAAACAATTAGCATCATCGAAGTCGAATTTCACTCAGCTTACATCACTACATCAGGGTGCGTTTGCATGGTATTCCGGAATAAGAATGTGCAAATCTTTTGTACCGCCGAGTTTAGACCACATAAACGAAATAAACAAAATATTTTATTTCAAGCAAATTTTTAAATATTGCAATGAAATGAATACCAAAACAAGTGATTTCCAGAGTTCATGATTTCATAGATATCTTATTCTGCAATAGAGAGGAGAAGTCGGTATGTCACGTTGCCATGGTAGCAAAATTTTTGGATGACAACAAACTGATAAAGTCACTTAAAAGTCTATTCGCACTATTTCAAACTTTACCGATCTTATTAAATTTCATTTAATTTGGCAAATCTTGGCGAAATTTTCTTTAGGACCGTATCTATTGTTATCTACGTTTAGAAAAAGAAAGCGACAATTTTTGTGCAGAGTTGTTGTGTTGCTAATCCTAACCCATTCGCCACACGCACATCTCCCAAAACGCCCTTTATTTGCCCCCCAAAATTTTGCATAAGCATTGTTTTCAATTTCTTTTGGGATGGCTGTAATACCCAGGAGAAATGAAGAACAAAGGTTATGCAAAATTGTGGGGGGCAAACAAGGTGTATTATGGGAGATGTGCAAGTGGCGAATTGCTTTTTTTAAAAAAACGTTCTCGTTGCCCCCACCGTTGTTGTTGTTGTTTAAGCTCGGCTATTTCCACAGTTGATAACCGTACGTTGCTAAAGAAGAGTGATTCCAAAGCGACATGAGGGGCACTGGAAATTTTACGTAATTGCATACTGGTAAGAACTGTTTATATCAGTCATTTTTCACTTGTTAAGCAGTCTTATTTCGAAATGTATTGTTTTCGGTGTCTTCTTGGTTGAAAAACTCCGTATTTGGGTAACGTCTAACAAATTAACTCTTTTTTGGTCTTTTCAATAGGCTGAGAATCTATTCTGGCATCTATAAGGTTTTCGTTGAATTTTTCACGTTTTAATTGATTTGAAAATACAAATGATGACCTGTCGATCCTAATTAGCGTTCCATTTTTTCAGTCATTCAACTCCCCAAAGGCTGAATTCAAATCCTTATTTTCACTTTTCGGTCATCAGATGAATTTTACATGTCCTTCTACGAGAGTATGTCTATTGAATAATTATAAGTTTTTGAAGCACAAATAGATATTTAGCAATAACGTATTTCTGTTTAAAAAAAGCCCACCACTGCCACCTTTCTGCAACTTGGTTGAGAATGAATATTAGTAAGAATTAAAGAAGAAATCGATTATCGAATACGGAACTTTTTTAAAAGAATATTCAAGTTAACTCATTCCTTTAACAAATAAGTTATGTACATAACTTGATTTAAAACCACACGGGTTCACCTCGGCTAAATGTGGCTTACAATAACATTATAGCACTGCTGTGCAGCTGACAAATACATTTATTAATCAAAGACAGATTTGCTTATTCCTTTCCTCCGGGAAAAAAGGACAATGTTTATTGAAATATCGGAATTCGATGATTCGTTTTGTCCCTCACAACAATTTGATCATTACTTAGAACAGCTACTGAGAATGGTCCCTTGAATTCTCCTAATTGGCTGCCATTTGTTCCAAATTTTCCTACAAACTTCCCATCTAGTTCAAAGACTGGTATTCTAAGATTATCCTCATCACAAACCAACAGGTGCTTTGACAGAGTCACTGACAGAGAACGTGGATAATTAAGAGTTTGTTTTTCACTCATTTTCCTACTTATATGAAGAATATGTTTTCACTCCGGTCCTCTTCCTATGATCTTCGTGGCAACTACATT